AGGAATGCACAACTTAGCAAGTCAGTTTAACAAGTACCAGCAGGGTTTGTGCACAGAGAAAACAAAACTCCCTAGTTTTAGTAGCAAAACTATCAGTGGAAACTACAGTCTGGTTACAGCAGTAAGCTTCCCACAGCAGTTTCAGCTGCCTTCCTTTGGAGCCCAAAGGAGAAACTCCTCTGGACTGCTCCTGAGAGAGGCAATTAATAGGAACTTTGGTGCTCGGGAAAGCTAGTCCCTCCCCTGAGTCCTGGCTCACCTGCCCGAGTACCTAGAGTGCTTATAACCCACCTCGCTCCCTGCTTTGCATGTTCATATCCATAAAAGAAACCTCCAAGCTCTTCCTCCAGTCCGAGCTGTATCTTCCCTGCATCCCCCCCAGTCCCTTACCTGTTCACGTGCGCTGCTCCCCGGCACATCCCTCGGCCCCTTCCTTGAGCGATGATCCAGGTACCTCAGGTGCTTGCCCTAGCGAGACACCCTCATGGTCATTGCTGGAGAGACTCCTTGGAATCGACTGCTCCTCTGCAGAAAATGTCCACCAAAACAAGCACCCTCTCCAAAAGCCCCAGATAACCAGCCAGCAGCGCCTGCCCCTCGTCATTCCTCACTGGCTACACCTGAGGCTGTCCTGCCCCTCGTCATCCTCACTGGCCACACCTGGGGCTGTCCCGCCCCTCGTCATCATCACTGGTCACACATGGGGCTGTCCCGCCCCTCGTCATCATCACTGGTCACACATGGGGCTGTCCCGCCCCTCCTCGTCCTCGCTGCCCCCTCGTGGGGCTGTCCTGCCCCTCGTCATCCCCGCTGCCCACCCGTGGGGCTGTCCCGCCCCTCGTCATCGTCCCTGCCCACCCGTGGGGCTGTCCCGCCCCTCGTCATCTCCTGCCCACCTGGGGCTGTCCTGCCCCTCGTCATCCCCGCTGCCCACCCGTGGGGCTGTCCCGCCCCTCGTCGTCCTCCCTGCCCACCCGTGGGGCTGTCCCGCCCCTCCTCGTCCTCGCTGCCCCCTCGTGGGGCTGTCCTGCCCCTCGTCATCCCCGCTGCCCACCCGTGGGGCTGTCCCGCCCATCGTCATCGTCCCTGCCCACTCGTGGGGCTGTCCCGCCCCTTTGTCATCCCCGCTGCCCACCCGTGGGGTTGTCCCTCACGGGGGGGGGACAGAATGGCGTTTGGCCCCCCAGGCGGGTGCGTGACGTGGGGGAGCGATCCGGGGGGCGGCGCGGGGACTGTGAACGGCCGGGAATGATTCAAACACCCATCAGATCATTGTTAATCGGAGCCCCGCTCCCTCATCTCTGTCCTCGTTTTCCTCGGCCGCAAAACCCGATGATCCCCCACTGGCTCTCGTTTAGGGTGCTTTTCTCCCACGGCTCTTTTCTCCCCGCTGAAACCTCCTGGCATATTCAGAGCTTAGCCGGAGGCGAGCCCCTCTGTGGAATTTCCTCTCGTGCCGATGCTGTGGGATGAAAAGAAGTAAAGAAAGCACGTCGAGAGTTCCTTCTTTGCTCCCTGGGAGCGATGCCGCCGGCCCTCCGAGTGTGGGACAGCACACCTGCCTGACTCCCCTCTCTCCAAAGAGCTTCCAGCGAGCAATCGCTGCAAAAACCCCAAATCCCAGCATTTAGGGCTCTTGGAATGTGGCTGGGAAACACCTCGTTCAAGCGGACACTTGCCTGGGAACGATTCAGCCCCGATATCGTGCTCCGTAAGCAGGGGACAAAACCTCCCTCCCTCTTTGGTTTCCCAAGCGCTCCAGCAGCAGCAGGAGGCTGCCTTTGTCCATCCCAGCCGCCCCGCGCTGTCCCGAGCTCAGCTCACCCCCCCAGAAGCCGCAGGACGGGTCATTCCCCGAGGAACGGGGAGCTCCCCACGAGCCCCCGCAGGGAACAGGCACCGAGCGCTCCCCAGCGAGCTCTGCCACTCCCGGGAGCCGAGCCGAGCCCCGAACCGCCACCGCAGCCCCCCAGCCCCTCCCGCCGAACCCCGCACAGCTCCGGGTACAGCCGGTCCCGCAGCGTCCTCCGGGAAAACCGGGAGCGAGCTGAGGGAGAATGGCGGGGGAAGGGGCGGGGGCGGGGGAAAACCCGGACTGGATTTCGGCCGGAGTACGGAATGGGGGAAAACCCGGACTGGATTTCGGCCGGAGTACGGAATGGGGGAAAACCCGGACTGGATTTCGGCTGGAGTGCGGAATGGGGGAAAACCCGGACTGGATTTTGCCCAGAGTACGGAATGGGATTAAAAAAAAAAAAGAGAGAAAAAAAGGAAAAAAGGGGGGGGGAAGGAAAAAAAGGGGGAAAAAAGGCAAAAAAAGGCAAAAAAAGGGGAAAAGGGGGAAAGAGGGGGAAAAAGGGAAAGAAAGGGAAAAAAAGGAAAAAAGGAGGGAAAAAAGGGAAAAAAGGAGGGGGAAAAGGAGGGAGAAAAGGAGGGAGAAAAGGAGGGGGAAAAAAAAAGAAAAAAAAAAAGGAAAAAACCCCACCACAGCCCAGCAGTTTTCTTGGGGAACCCTAATTATTTCCTTAATTCTCCTTCTGTTGCATTAAGGACTGAGGAAGCTGGACCTGTGTCTGACCAGGACACATGCAAACCAAACAGTGGGGACTGGAACCCACACCTTGCACTCTTGCAGCTCTCACAATTCCACTCAAGAGAAAACAGCCAATGGTACCATCACCGCTCGTTCCTTAATTCCAATCCCACACTTCTTTTGCGGTTGGAGCACCACTTTTATATACACAGATAGCAAGAGTTTTCTCTGCAGGCACCTTTGATCTGGGAGGTATCTTCGTCTGTATGGAAATTTGGCCGTCAGACGGCCAGTTTCAGCCCAATGTTCCCACGAGCGAATGGCTCAAAATCCTTCCGGCACCCCCCAGGACACACCCAATTGTGCCCCCCGGACTCCTCAACCCTTTTAAGACCCACAGATTCCCTAAAAATGTTTGAGGACTTTCCAGCTTTCCAGGATACCCAAGATCACCCCCACCCCAGTCTCTCCCAAGAGTCCCTAATCCTTCTAGGATCTTCACGACTAGCCTAAAATTTTCTGTGACCCCCCGAGATCCTCTCAATCACTTCCCAGATCCCCTGGTGCTTCCGATACCCCCCAACTGCCCCTTCCAGGATCCCCAAAATATCGTTACCCTTCCCTATTTTTTTAAGATCTCTCATGACCCCCCCCCCAAATTATTCCTGGCACTCCCCAGACCTGTCTAAACCCCCCTCAACCCTCCTTTAAAGCCCCCCAACCCCTCCCCCCAACATCACAGGCCACCAGGTCTGCCCCTCCCCCCTCTTAAACCACCCCCAGGCCCCTCCTTCTCCTCACACCCTGGCCCACCAGAGCCCCAAAGACCTCCCAGAACTCCCCAGGACCCCCTAAAGATCCCCCAGGACCTCTCAACCCTCCTCCCAAACCCCCCATTGCTGCAAGTGTCCTCTGGGGCCATGGCGGCCTCTGACCTGGAACTACACCTCCTGTCACACTTTGCCCGCTTCCCAGCCAATCACAACCCTCGGACCTTCCCCTCCCACCGATCGGCGACAGGCGATCCTCTTCCCATCGTGCTTTCCACGGCACATCCACCAATCAGAGCCCCTCCACGCAACACCTCAGCCAATCAGAGGCCAAGGCAGCCTCTTCCATCCCGAGGGTGCCATCATGACAGCAAGGGTGACACCGATGCACGGTTTTGGGGGGGTTTAATGTTGCCAAAGGGTCCGGGGGGTCCTCTGATGGTTTTCAGGGGGTCCTCGGTGGGCCCCAGCTCATCATGGTCCTGGGAGCTCAGCAGAGACGGACACACCCACCATGTCCAGTGCAGGCTGGGGAACAGAGAGTGACACTGGGGACACTGGGGACATTGGGGAGAATTGGGGAGATTGGGTGTACACTGGGGACATGGAGGACATTGGGGGATTGGGGACATTGGGGACACGAAGGTGACACTGGGGACACCAAGGTGACATTGAGGACATTGGGGAGGGCAGCACCCACCCTGCAGGGAGCTCCAGAAGGAGCCCAGGGTGGCACTGCCAGTGACAGCACCGAGTCCCGCTGGGTTCCGGCGGGTGCTGGTGACGCTCAGGCACCGCCCTTTGTCCCCAGTCGATGTCACCTCCACCTCCACCACGTGCCAGTCAGGGACACTGCAGGGACACTCAGAGGACAAGGAGGGGACAGGGAGAGGGTGGCATTGAGGGGGACAAAGAGGGGACATGAGGGGACAATGGGGTGGCACCGAGGGGTGGCACAGGGGCACACAGAGGGGACAGGAAGGGGACACTGCACTGACAGGGGACAGTCAAGGGGTGGTACCAGGGGGGTGACACTGGGGGGACACACAGGGGACAATGGGGACACTCAGGGGACAAGGAACGGACAGGGAGAGGGTGGCATTGGGGGGGACAAGGAGGGGACATGAGGGGACAAAGGGGTGGCACTGGGGGGTGACACTAGGGGGACACTGAGGGGACAGGAAGGGGACAACAAGGGCACTCAGGGGTTGGCACCGTGGTGGCACCGTGGGAGGACACAGGGGGAGATGACACCAATCAATAACACGGGGTGGGGAGGTGACACATGGAGGTGACGGGGGAGGTAACACAGCTGGGGTCGGCCACCAGGCAGGTGACAATGCCGTCAAAGCCCAGCTGGGTGGCACGGGGAGGTGACACAGGGAGGTGGCACCAATCAATTACACACAAGGAGAGGTGACAGAGGAGAGGTGACACGGGGGGAGGTGACACACCTGGGGTCGGCCACCAGGCAGGCAGTGACACCGTCGAAGCCCAGCCCTGGTGCTGCCACGGCCGCCGCTGCCATCGTGTTGACATTGTTGGGGACAAGGGGACAGAGGGGCCGCAGGGGACCCTCGTACAGGACCATCCTCGTCCCTGAGGCCATTGCGGCTGCCACCCGCTCCTGGAGCCACCCCTGTGCCCGGAAACTCTGCGGGGACTTAGTCATTGTCACCTTCAGGGCCTGAGGGAGAGTAGGGGGGACACTAAGGCCATTGTCACCTTCAGGGCAACAGGGACAGTGAGGGGACAATGGGGGGGACACCAAGGTCTTTGTCACCTTCAGGGACAGTGGGGACAGTGAGAATAGGGAGAATAGGGGTGACACCACAGTCATTGTCACCTTCAAGGACAACAGGGACAGTGGGGGACAGTGGGGGGGACACCAAGGTCATTGTGAGTGTCCCCAGTGTCACTCACAGCCAGTGTCCCCTGCCGGTCCATCCTAGCGATGTCCTCGCAGCCCCACAAGGCCCCCCTGGGGACATACAGGGTGTGGCCCCCCCGTGTCGCTGCCTCCCGGAGCCGCTGCTCAGTCTCGGGGTCTGCCAGGGCTGTGGGGGACCCAAGCTGGGGACAAGGGACAATGTCATCACGGTCACTCCGTGGCTCCTCAGTGCCTCCAAGTGTCCCACCGATGCCCCAAATCTCCCCAATACCCCCATGTTCCCCCAATGTCCCAAATGCCCCCAATGTCCCCAATCTCCCTGATGTCCCCCATGTCCCCCCAATGTCCCCAAATGTCTCCCAATGTCCCCACCATGAAATCCGCGTGTCCTAGGATGTCCTCGCCGTGTTCCTGGGCCACACATGGGTGGGCCACCTCCACCACCAGGTCCACCTCTCTGGGGACATTGGGAGGATTAGGGACACTGGGGGGACATTGGGGGGACTGGGGGGACATGCAGAGGTTTGGGGGGTCCTGGGGAGGCCCCAGGGTTTTGGAGGGTCCCCAGGGATTTGGGGGGGTCTTGGTGGTTTAGGGGGGATTGGAGAGGGAGGGGTCAAGGGATTTTGGGATGTCCCAGAGGTTTGAGGGGGGGGTGTTGAGGGGTCCCAGGGGGTCCTGATGGTTTGAGGGGGCTTTGGGGGGTCTCAGTGGTGTAGGGGGCTCGCGGCAGGATCACTCACGTGCTGGGCAGGAGCCCCAGGTTGTGGAGGCGCAGGGCTGGGGGGAGTCCCCCCAAACTCGCCCTGTCCCGGGCCCAGACCCAGGCCAAGGTCAGGCCCAGGGTGGGCCCCTGGGCCAGGAGCTGCTGGGCCAGGAACTGCCCTGGGGGGAGGGACAGGGATGTGTCACCCACTGCCACCTCCTGCCACCTCCCCTGGGACCACCAACACACCCTAGAGATTTTGTGACACCCCCTGAGAACTCCCCAACACCCCCCTTGTAGCCCAGGAACTGCCCTGGGAGGGGGACAGGGACGTGTCACTTCCTGTCACCCCCCAGGACTCCCCTGGTCCCCATAACCCCCCCAGTGCTACCAATGCCCCCCCCCAGCTCCTCCCAGTGCCCCCCAGTTCCCTCCAGTGCCCCCAGTGACCCAAATTCCCCTCCCAGTCCCCTCCCAGTGCCCCTCAGTGCCCACAATCCCCTCCCAGTCCCTCCCAGTACCCAACTGGCCGTAGCCCAGGATCCCAACGCGGCGACTCTGTGGAGCCTCCATGGCCTTGGGAGGGGCGGTGGGGGTCACAGGGGGTCCTAAACACGACCCCCCGACCCCTCAATTGCCCCCCAAGACCCCCAATTACCCTGCCCCCGAATTATTCCCCCAAAATCCCTGTAATTACCCCCCAAATTAACCCCCCAGCTCTAATTACTCCCAGCCCCCGCAATATCCCTCTAATTAAACCCCCAACACCACTACTTACCAAAAATCTCCCCCAATTACCTCCCGCCCCCTAATTACCCCCCCAAATCCGTCTAATTACCCCTCCAATTAGCCCCCTTTTAATTACCCCCTTTTAATTACCCCCTTAATTACCCCCCAATCTTTCCAATTACCCCTGGTCCGTAATAATCACCCAGCCCCCCTAATTGGCCCCCCAAATCCCTCTAATTGCCCCCCAACCCCTCCCAAAATCTCCCCCACGTGCCCCGTCACTCCCCCCACCTGCCCTGCTCTCCCTGTGTGCCCTTTGCCCCCCCCCGCCTCTCCCTCCACACCCCTGCCCCCCCGGGTTAATGTTCAACCCGGGGCCTTCCGGGGGGGGAAAAGGGAGGGGGCACCACGATCCCCTTTTTTTTTTGGGGGAGGGGGCTCTGGGTCCATTTTGGAGGGGGCAACTTTTTTTTTTTTTTTTTTTGGAGGGGTGAGACCTGGATGGGTTTTCTTGGGGGGTGGAGGGCCCTGGGCCCATTTTGGGGGGGATGTAACGGGGGAGTTTTATTGGGAGGGGGTTATTGGGGCATCCCTGGATCCTCTTTTTTAGGGATTTGTCATACCCCTGGGTCCTTTTTTGGGGGGGATCCCAACTCCCCTTTGTTAGGGAGGTCACACACCGGGATCCCTTTTTTGGGGGTGTCACGCAACAGGGTCCCCCCTTTTTTTGGGGGGAAGGGGTCGCACCCTTGAGACCATTTTTTGGGGGGTGGGGGGACCCCAAATCCCTCTTTTTGTGAGGGGAGGGGTTGGGGAGTGGGCGGGGCTGTTACTCCAACTTCCGACCACCCCCCCCGGTGCCATGGAAACAGTCTCCCCCCTTCCCGTTGCCTCGGGAACGACATCGGTACCATGGAAACAGCTCCCACCTCTCCGTTGCCCTGGAAACCCCTTCCCACCTCTAGTTACCATGGAAACCACCCCGTTGCCATGGAAACAGTCCCATGGCCCCCTCCCCGTTGCCATGGAAACCGCTGCCATCGCCGTTTCCATGGTAATGGGGAGAGGAATCTCCCCCACACACGTTTCCATGGCAATGCCGCAGTGCCCCTCCCCCCCCCGCCGCTGCTGCCATGGCAACCGGCAGCCGCAGCACCCCCTCCCCCTCCCGGTATCCATGGGAACGGTGGGAGGGGGAGGGGAGATCCCTAGGACCCCTCCCCCCATGGCTGTGGTGTGTTTTTAGTGTGTTCTTGGCATGTTCTTGGCCCCACGATGTGGCAGCGACACAGACATGGCAAGGACATGCAAAGAACATGCCAAGCACACACCAAACATGTGCCAACAATCCCACATGGCACGGACGTGCCGAGGACACACCAAGAACACCCCGAGGACACACTAAGCCCATGTCACTCACACTCCATCTCCCCACACTAAGGATATGCCAAGCACATGCCAAGACCACGTAAAAACCACAGCAAGTACACTCCAAGCACACACCAACCCATCCCCAAACCACACACCAAGCCCACGTCACTCACACACCAAGGACGTGTCAAGCACACACCAAGCCCCTGCCAGCCCCCCCTCTCTCGGTCCCCACTGGAAACGCCCGCTGGGTTTTTTATTAAAGTAGGAAAGTTTTGGCCGCGGCGAATTTAAAAATCCCCGGCCCTCCTCCCCAAATCCCCCACGTCCCCTCCCACACCCCTTCGGACACCCTCGGGACCACCCGAGGGAGGGGGAGGGGCGGGGAGGGGTGAAAGGGGGGTAGGGACCCCGCGGGGGCCTCCAAGAGTCCATCACATGAGGGTCTCACACAAGGGTCTCGCACAAGCCCCCGTATCCCAAGAGGGTCCAGAACGAGGGTCTTGCATGAGCCCTTTGCGGGAGGGTCCTTTGCACGAGGGTCTTCAAAGAGTCCCTTGCACAAGGGTCTCTTGCACAAGGGTGTCTTGCACGAGTCCTTTATACAAGTCCCTGTGTCACAGCAGGGGTCTGGATTGAGTCCCTTGCACGAGGGCCCTGAATGAGTCCTTTGCACGAGGGTCTTGCACGAGTCCCTGTGTCACAACGAGCATCTTGCATGAGGGTCTCTTGCACAAGTGCCTTGAATGAGTCCTTTGCCCAAGTCCTTGTGTCCCATGGGGGCCTTGCACGAGTCCTTGGCACGAGGGTCTTCAATGAGTCCTTGGTACAAGGGTCTTGAACAAGTCCCTCTGTCACACGAGGGTCCTGAATGAGTCCTTTACGTGAGAGTCTTGCACGAGTCCTTTGAATGAGGCTGTTCCCCAAATCTCCTGCACGAGACCCCCCTACTCGCACCCCCCAGGCCTTGCACAAGTCCTTCATCCCATGAGTCCTTCATGTCACCCCTCAGGTGTCACACGAGCCCCTCCTCGCACATCCACATATGACACAGTGACACAGGTCCCTTGGGATCACAACAGCCCCTTATGTGTCACATGAGCACCCCCGTTGTCCCCCCCCATGTCACACGAGCCCGTGTGTCACCTCAGCCCCGCCTTGTCCCCCCAGTGTCACACAAGTCCCCCCCTTGTCACTCCAGTCCCCGTGTCACATGAGCCCCCCCATTGTCACACAAGCCCCTTGTGTGTCATTCAAGTCCTTCCTTGTCCCCCCCACCGTGTCCCACAAGCCCCTCCTTGTCACCTCCCATCTCTCCCAAGCCCCCCTTGCCCCCTGTGTCACACAAGTCCCTTGTGAACTCATCAGTCGCCCAGTGTCACACGAGCCCCCCCTTGTCATGCCCCTGTGTGACACCAGTCCCTCATGACCTCACCAGCCCCTTGTGTCACATGACCCCCTCTCATTGTCACCCTCCTGGTCACCTCAGTCCTCTCTTGTCCCCCCTCGCATCACACAAGTCCTTCGTCTCCTCCAAGTCCTCCCCTTGTCACCCCCTTAGTCACCCCAGCCGCCCTGTGTCACTCCAGCCCCTCTTTGTCACCCTGGTGTCAATCAAGTTCGCCCTTGTCACCCTCCCCCGCATCACCCCAGACCCTCCTTGTCACCCCCCATGTCACTCAAGCCCCTCTTGTGTGTCCCCCCTTGTCACACAAGTCCTCCCCCAAGTCCATGTCACAGTAAAGACTCCCCCCCAAAATCTACCCCTCCCTCCCCAAAACCTGCCCCCCAATTCTCCCCCTCCCCCCGAAAAAATGGGCAGGTGGGAACCACGGGGTGGGATTTTTTGGTGGGAGGGTTCTGATGCCGCCCCCTCCTCTTGGAGGGTCAGAGCTGGGTCTATGGGGTCCCCCTGTGTGCCCCTGTTTTGGGGGGGGGGGTGTCAGATCTAAGTTTGGGGGGGTCCCCATACTACTCACCCTGTTTTGGGGTGGTCAGATCCAGGTCTGTGGTTCCGGGGGGTTCCTGTGTCCCCAGTTTTGAGAGGGGGGCTTGTCAGATCCAGGTTCATAAGTTGGGGGGGTGTCCCCACTCCCCAGTTTCAGAGGAGTCAGATCCAGATCTGTGGTGTGGGGAGGGTCCCCACACTCCCCCCCCCACTTTGTGGGGGTCAGATTCAGGTCTGTGGTTTATGCGGGTCCCTGTTCCTTCCCTTTTTGGGGGGGTTAGATTCGAGTCTCTGGGCAGGAGAAGAGGGGCCCCACTCCTCATTTTCTTTTGGGGGAGGGGTCAGTTTTGGGTCTCCTGCACATTCTCCTTGGAGGGGCTCTGGAAGAGGAGGGGTTTGTAGGGGGTCAGATCCAGGTCTGTGGTTTAAGGGGAGTCCCCACTCCCCCTCTTTCCAGGGGGGTCAAGTCCAGGTTTAGGGGGGGGTCTCTTTTTTCTGCCATTTCAGGGTGTCAAGTCCAGGTTGGGGGGGGATCCACTCTCCCCTTTTTCAGGGGGTTCAAGTCCCAGTCTGGGGTTTAGGAGGAGGGTCTCCATGTCCCTCATTTTGGGGGTGGGGTCACATCCCAGTCCACAGGTCAAGGGGATTGTCCCTGTTCCCCCATTTCAGGGGGTCAGGTCCAGGTCTGTGGAGTCCCCACACCTTCTCATTTCAGGGTTGGTCAAGTCCATGTTTAGGGAGTCCCCGTTCCCCCTTTCTGCAGGGCTCACATCCAGGTTTAGGGAGGGTCCTCGTTCCCCCTTTCTGGGGGGGTCAGATCCAAGTCTCTGGGCAGAAGGGGGTCCCTGTTCCCCTCATTTCAGGGGGGTCAAGTCTAGGTCTAGGGGGGGGGTCCCCATTCCCCCTTTCCGGGGGGGTTGGATCCAAGTCTCTGTGCAGGAGAAGGGGGTCCCCACCCCTCATTTTTTTCGGGTGGTGGGGGCGGTCAAATCTGGGTCTCCTGCACATTCTCCTTGGAGGGGCTCTTGAACAGCAGTGGCTCATGCACCGAGTTGAGCAGGGGGGTCTTCCCGCACCCCAGTGCCGCCGCCGGGCCCCCGTAGTGGGCAGCCAGCGCCGCGTACCTGTCCAGGTGCTCCCTCTCCAGTGCTGGCAGTGCCAGCCTGTTGTCCCCTGACGTCCCCACCCCCTGCCGTGCCCCCAACACCGCCCCCGCCCCCACCAGGCCCCCCCGAGAGCTCGTCCTCAACGTTGACGATCTCCACGGCCCGCGCGGGGCCCCCACGGTGCTTGTGGCGCTGGTGCTGCTTGCGCAGCTTGTAGAAGGCCACCAGCATCACAGCCGCCATGAAGGTGATGGCCACGAAGCACCCGATAATGATCTTGGTGGTCTTCAGAACGTCGTCCAGGTCTTGGAGACCTCCGCCCGCTGCCCCGGCGCCCGCGGCGGCAGCGGCGGTGATGGGCACCGTGAAGGGCTTCCCCGTGGCACGCGTGGCCGGTGCTGCCGTGGAGCCACCAGAGGGGTCCCACCCGGGTGCCGTGGGCGCTGGCGGGGTCTGGGGGGCTTGTTCTTCGCCGCCACCCTCGGTGGTCTCCACAGTGACCGTGGTGAAATAGGTATAGCCTGTGGCCGCTGCTGCAGCGGCAGCGGCAGCAGCAGCGGCATCGGCAGCCGAGACATTGAGCGTGGCCGAGGCCGTGGTGTTGCCAGCGGCATTGGTGACCATGCAGGTGTACTGGCCCGTGTCCTGCACCGTCACATTGGTGAAGTTGAGTGTGCCATCATGCAGCACGGAGATCCTTACCCGGTACGAGCCGTGCGTCATCAGTGTCCCGTTGGGCGTCAGCCAGTTGACCGAGGTCATGGCTGTGCCCGTGCGGCACTTGAGCTCGGCCGCCATGCCCTCGGTGACGTTGAGATCAGCTGGCGGCTCCACAATGACAGGCGCGTAGCAGGTGAAGTGGCCTGGCTCCAGCTCGCCCAGGTACCGGCCCCGCAGCGCCGGCGGTGCGTGGCACCGGGCGCAGCAGCTGGTGTTGCTGGGCACCGTCTCCCGCAGCCACCAGCTGAGCCACAGCACGTCGCAGTCACAGCGCCACGGGTTGTGGTGGAGGTGGACGCGCTCCAGGCGGTGCAAGGGAGCGAACAGGTCGTGGGGCAGTGAGGCCAGGTCGTTGTGGGCCAAGTTGAGCTCCTCCAGGGCCTTGAGGTCGTCAAAGGCGTTCCTCTCCACCGCCGCCACCCGCGCATGCATCAGCCACAGCTTCCTCAGGCTCCCCAGACCCTGGAATGACCCCGGGCGCACCCGGCCCAGCCGGTTCCCCGACAGCTCGAGCTCCTCCAGCCTCACCAGGGCGGTGAGGTTGGGGATCTCCTTGAGGTTGCACATGCCCAGGTTGAGGTAGCGCAGGTTCACCAGCCCCTCGAAGGCAGCCTCCGAGATGTACTCGAGACGCTTCAGCTCGCCCAAGTCGAGGCGCCGCAGCGACGGCACCCGGTTGAAAGCGTAGGATGGGATGCTCTCGATGGGGTTGTTCCTCAGCCACAGCTCCCTCAGCTTGGAGAGGTACTCGAACGCCTGTGTTGGCACCGTGGTGAGCCGGTTGTCGAACAGCTCCAGGGTGTTGAGGTTGGGCAGCCCGTTGAAGGCGCCCACCTCCACCTTGCGGACCAGGTTGCGGCTGAGCTGCAGGATCTCCAGGTGCCGCAGGTGCTTGAAGGTGTCGGTGCGGATCACCTGGATGTGGTTCTCCTGCAGGTTCAGGTAGCGGGTGTTCACTGAGATGCTCGAGGGCACCTCCAGCAGCTCGCGCCGGGTGCAGATCACCCGGCTTGCCTGGTTGCTGCAGGTACAGGCGGCCGGGCAGGGTGTGGGCGCAGCCCCCGGCACCGCCGGTGCCGCCAGGAGCAGCAGCAGCAGCAGCAGGATGGGCGCTGGCGGCGCCGGGGACGCCGCTGGCATCTTAAGGGGCGCCGGGGCCGCCATGGCCAAGGGGCATCTCTGGCTTCAGGGCCCCGGGTGGTGCTGGGAGAGAGGGGAGAAGGGGGTTAGGAGGGTCCTCTGGGGGAGACTTGGGAGTGAGAAGGGGTCCGAGGGGTGCCCAGGGTGGATAAGGGGGTCTGAGGGCTTCCTGGGGCGGGTCAGGAGGGTTCCCAGGAGGAGACTGGGGGCTCAGGGTGCTCCCTGGAGGGTCCCCAGTGGCAGACTGGGACGTCATGGGGGTCCCCATGGGGGACAGGAAGGGTCTGGGGGCAACCGGGGGGCCCCCAGGGAGGTCAGGAGGGGTCTGCGGGAGGTATGAGGGGTCCCCAGGGGATATTAGTGGGTCAGGAGGGGTCTAGAGGTGGTCGGGGGGGTCCACAGAGGGAGATAAGGGGGTCTAGGGGGTCCCTGAGGGGTCAGGAGGGGTCTAGGGGTGATCTGGGGGGTCCCCAGGAGGAGATTGAGGGGTCTGAGGGGTCCCTGGGGTGTCTCCAGGGGGACATGAGGGGCACCCATGTGCTCACACAGGTGTGAACACCCCACATACCAAGCACACGTGTTTGACGCGTCCCACTGCACACCCATGTGCATTTACACACGTGTATAGCATGTCCCATAGCACGTCCATGTGCACTGACACACGAGTGTAGCGTGTCCCAGATCACATCCATGTGCATTTACACGTGTGCCCCTGCTCGCTGCTCACAGGCGTGTACAACGCCCCCCTGAGCCCTCACACGCGTGTGCCCCCGCCCCCACTCGTGCGCCCCCACCCCATCCCAGCACCTCAACCTCCCCCAACCCCATCTCATCTCATCTCATCTCATCTCCCCCTCTCCCGCCGCAGCCGCCGTTTCCTCGTGTGCGCCGTCCTCCCTCCGGAAATCCCCGGAGACCCCCAAACCCTTCCCAGAGCCCCCCGAACCTCCCCGGGCCCCCTCGACCTTACCCCGCACCCCCGGGCCTGCGTTCGGCCCCGCTGCCTTCGGCCCCCTCCTCCTCCTCCTCCTCCTCCTCCTCCTCCGCCCCTCCCCCGCTCCTTCCTGTCCCCCTCTTCCTGCGCCCCCCTTTCCCCTTCCTGCGCCCCCATCCCGGTCCAGCCCCTCCTCCATCCCTCTCCCCCCGCCGCCATCCCCTCCCTTCTCCCCCTCGGAGCCTCCGCGTCAGCGCAGAACCGGCCCTGACCCCACCCGGAGACCCCAGAGCCCCCAAAACCCTCCTGGTACCCTCTGGATTCCCTGGACCCCCGAAAATACCCCCGGTACCTTCCGGAGACCCCCGGAACCCTCCGCGCCCCCTGGAGACCACCCGGACCCCCACAGCACCAGTCGATGCTCCGACCCCCGAGAGAACACAGACACCACCCCTCGACCCCCTTGGACTTCCCCCAAACACCCCCCAAACTGAGAGGGGACCCCCAAACTGCACAGAGACCCCCAACTCTGCACAGGGATCCCCAAAACTGAGAGGGGACCCCCAAAACTACACGGGGACACCCAGAACTGCACAGGGACCCCCAAACCACACAGAGACCCCCAGAACTGCACAAACAATACACAGGGGACCCCAAAACATCAATCAGGGACCCCCCAGCTTTGCACAGACACTCTCGAAACCACACAGGGACCCCCAAAACAACAAGGGGACCCCCCAAACCAGCACAAGGACCCCGAGTAAATCACAGGGACCTCCAAACATCAATCAGGGACCCCCCAACAACACATAGAGACCCTCAAAGCCACATAGGGACCATCAAAACCACACAGGGACCCCCAACATCATGTGAGGACCCCCTGAAACCTCATAGGGACACTCAAACATCAATGCCCCAACTCTGCACGGGGACCCCTAAAACTGAGAGGGGACCCCCCCAAAACCACACAGAGACCCCCAGAACCAGCCGGGGAGCCCCAAACATCAATCAGGGACTCCCCAATTCCAAACAGGGACCCCCCAAAACTGCCCTGTGGAGGGGTGCCCTAGGGTGTCCCAGGACACGGGAAGGTCACATGTGAACACACACATGTGAACACATACACACAAACACGTGTGAACACACATCCCCAGGGGCGAACATGTGTGTGAACACACACATGTGAACACGTGTGTGAACAGACACACACGTGATACAGACACACCAGGGCACACACATCCCTCTGTGAACACACAGACACACACATGTGAACACACCTGTGTGTGCACATGTGTGCAAACACACACCTTTGCACATACACACTTGTGCATACACACACATGTGAACGCACCTGTGCACGCACACACACGTGTGCACACGCACCTGTGCACAGACACACATGTATGAACACACCTGTTCACACACACCTGTGCACACAGACGCGTGTTCACACAGGCTCACACACGTATGCACACCCCTCCTCCACCCCCTGCCCCCCCGCGGGTCCCCCCAGATTTAGGGGGCCTTGAGGGGACCCTGGAAATGAGGGACCTGGAGGGTCCTACAGCCCCCATGGATGAGGAGGCCCTAATTATGGGGGGGGTCCCATAGCTCCTATAGATGGGGGGGCCCTCTAGCCCCCTATAGAACCTTTGGGGGTTATAGATTGGGGTCTCTATGGGGGAACCCCAAAACCGACTCCTCCCGAGGAGACCCCCAAAGCAAACCCCCTAAAACGACCCCCATAGTGGGGACCCCCAAAACTGACCCCCCCCAAGACGATTCCCCCCCTGCCCCCGCCAACACCCTCCCCAAACTGACCCCTCAAAACGACTCCCCCAAAACAGGGACCCCCAAACTGACCCCCCAAAACCGGCCCCCAAAACCGACACCCCCAAAACCGACCCCCTAAAATGGGAACCCCCAAAACGACCCCCCCAAACTGAACTCCTTAAAACGACCCCCAAACCTGCCCCCTCAAACCGACTCTCCCCAAACGACCCCCCAAACCGAGCCCAAAAACGACACCCTCAAAAACGACACCCCCAAAAACGACCCCCTAAAACGACCCTGCAAACGACCCCCCAAAAAGGGTCCCCGGGGTGTGGGGGGAGGCCTGGAGGAGGGAACTGGGCTGGACTGGGAGGGACTGGTCCATACTGGGAGGGCCGGAGGGAGGGACTGGTCCATACCGGGAGGGATGCGGAGCGGGGCCGGGTCTATAATGGGGGTTACAGGTCCAGACTGGGGGTTACTGATCTATACTGGGGGTGGAGGTCCCACTCACAGGGCGGGGTCTATCCTGGGGGTTTCTGGTCTATACTGGGGGTTACTGGTCTATACTGGGAGGGGTCCCACTCACCGGGCCGGGTCGCAGCATCGTTCCAGTGGCCGCCGGGGCCCCTCCGGCCCCCGCCCGCGATCGGCTTCGTTCGGCTCCGTTCGGGATCGTTCGGCTCCGTTCGGCTCCGGTTCGGGATCGTTCGGACCGAGTAGGGCCCGGTTCGGCTTCTCTTCGTCTCTGTTCGGAACCCGTTCGGCTCTGGTTCGGGACCCTTCGGATCCGTGTTCGGGTCCCTTCGTCTCCTTTCGGGACCCTTCGTCTAAGTTCGGCTCCGGGACGGAATCGTTCGGAACGAGTCGGCTCCGGTTCGGGACCGTTCAGCTCCTGTTCGGGTCCGTTCGGCTCCGGTTCGGGATCGTTCGGAATAATTCGGCTCCGTTCGCCTCCTTTCGGGAGCGGCGGCGGCGCTGGAGGGGCGGGGAGAGAGAGGGGGCGGGGATGGAGCTGCAGACGGGGGAATGGGGGGCTGTGGGATCGGGGATATGGGATATGAGGATATGGTCCCCCTCATGTCTTCCCCGTCCCCTTGTCCCACAATGTCCTCAAAGGCCCCCCATGCCCCCAAAGCCCCCAAGCCCCTCCATGTCCCCAAATGTCCCCCCTTATCCCCCATGTCCCCCAAGCCCCTCCATGTCCCCAGATGTCCCCCGTGTCCACAATGTCCCCCCGTGTACCCCCCGTGTACCCAAAGCCCCTCCATGTCCCCAAATGTCCCTCCATGTCCCTAAAGCCCACCCGTGTCCCTAAAGCCCCCCCAAAGCCCCCATGTTCCAAATGTCCTCAAAGCCCCCTTGTCCCCAAAGCCCCCCCGTGTCCCCAAGTGTCCCCCAGTGTCCCCTCCATCCCCGGGAGGCTCAGGCGTTGTGGGTGGTTTTTTTTGGGTGGGGGGTTTATTGGGGGGGTTTTATGGCTTTGGGGCCCCCGGCCCCACACACGGACACAAACCGGGGAAGGAGGGGACACACGGACTGTGGGGGTCCCGGGGGGGGGGTCACACGGAACTGGGGAGGCCCCCGAACCCTTCCGGGGGAGGAGGGGGACGAACACACACATTGGGGGAGGGTGGTTGGGGGTTCCCAGAGGACTTTTGGGGGAACCCCATAGACACACAAAGGGGGGCGGGGCCGGGGGTCGTTTTTTGGGCCCCCCCATAACACAAAGTGGGGATTGGACCCCCGGGGTCCTTTTGGGCCCCCTCCCCCTGTACAAACACTTGACACAAGGAGGGGTGGGCGTCCCCAGGTCCCTTTCAGGGGCCTCCCGAAACACAAAAGGGGGGTCGGACCCCAGGGGTCCTTTCAGGGGCCCCCCCATAACACACAAAGGGGATTGGGAGGGTCCCCAGGTCCCTTCTTTTTGGGCCCCTCCCCCACACAAACACATAGCGGGGGGAAGGGGCCAGACCCGGATTTCGGGGGGTTCACAGTGGGGGGGGGCAGGGCCCCCTTGTCGTGCAGGTCGGGGGCCCCGGGGGTCCCGGGGGTCCCTTTATGGCTTCGGTGTCAGGGCCCCCCCGGGCCGGGCCGGACCCTCCAGCCCTGGAGCCTGTGGAGAGAGGGGGCAGTGGGCTCCCAATATGGACCAGTGACTCCCAGCATGAGAAAGGGGGTTCCCAGTATGAGAAAGAGAGCTCCCAATATGGCAAAGTGGCCTCCCACTACGAAAAAATGGACTCCCAGTATGATAACGTGAACCCCCAGTATGGTAAAGTGGCTTCCTAGAATGAAAAAGAACTCCCAGTATGGCCCAGTGGCTTCCCATTATGAGACGGTGACCCCCACTATGAAAAAGTGGCCTCCCAGTATGGCCCAATGGCCCTCCATTCCCTCCCATTCCCTCCCAGTCCCTCCCAGTTCCCTCCCAATGCCCTCAGTAACTCCCCCAGTGCCCCCAATAACTCCCTCGCTCCCCTCCCAGTGTGTTCCCAGTCCCTCCCAGTGCCCTCAGTAACTTTCCCAGTCCTTCCCAGTACCCTCCCAGTTCCTCCCAACCCCCTCTCAGTCCCTCCCAGTGTGTTCCTAGTCCCCTTCAGTCCCTCCCAGTCCCCCCACAGTTTCCCCCAATCCCCTCCCAATCCCCCCCAGTCTCCCCCATTTTCCCCCCGCTCCCTCCCAATCTCCCCCAGTGCTCCCAGTCAGGCTCTCACGGGCTCACTGGGGGCCCAGGGGCTCCCCCAGGGCTGGCTTGTCCCGCGACGTCCCTTTGGCCACCAGAGCCTTTTCCTGGGGACATTTGGGGACATTGGGGACATGGGGGGATTTGGGGACATTGGGAGACATTGGGGACATTGAGGGGATTGGGGGCATTGGGGACTTTAGGGGATACTGGGGGGGTTGGGGACGTTGGGGTTTCTTGGGGGCCTGTGGTTTTTGTGGGATCCTGTGGGGTCCCCGTAGGTTCCTTATGGGTTCAGGGGGTCCCAATGGGTTGGGGGGGGTTGTGAGGGTCCCCACAAGTCTCGAAGGGTCCCGAGGCAGGGGGTCTCACCTCGACGAGCGTGTGCCAATGCTCGATGGGCTTGCGGGGATTCGCCAACATCTGCGCCCAGTGCTCCCGCCCCGGACCCTCGGCGTCACTGCCCACCCGGCACAGCCCAATCACCTCATTGTGCCCGATGCTGGGGGGACACCGGGGGGTCAGGGGGGCACCCCCAGACCCTCAAAACCCACCACAGGCCCCCAGACCCACCATGGACCCCAAAAACCCACCACAACTCCCCAGATCCCAGACCCTCATTTTTGCTCCCTTGTGCAACCCCACTCACATGAGGGGTCTTCAACGGCTCCAGGAGAACCCCAAACCCCTCCCTGGACCCCCAGAGACCCCCAGGACTCCAAAACCCTCCCAGGATCCCTAAAGTCCATCCAGGACCCCCAAAGGTCCCCCAAAGCCCCCCCAGCACTGACCAGTCCTAGCCAATGGGGTGACATGGGTGGGCAGTGCTCTCATGGGGGACGCCTAACGAGGGGGTCTCCCATCGCTCCAGGAGGACCCCAAACACCTCGAGGACCCCCCAAGCCCCCCCTCAGAAACCCCCCCCCGGGCTGACCAGTCATAGTCCACGACAGCGATGGTGAGGCTGACGTGGTTGACACTCTCGTGGGGGACGTCGAACACCAGGGCCTCGTTGTAGCTCGGGTTCAACGTGTTCTTCTTGATGGACGTCTTGCGCTTCTTGAGCCGCCGGCCCTCGGCCATGAGCGAGGCCTTCACGTAGGGGTCTGTTCAGGGAGCCCCAGAAACCCATCAGCAACCCCAAAAACCCCTCAGGGAACCCACAGTGACCCCACAGGGACCCTCGGCCATGAGAGAGGCCTTCACGTAGGGGTTTGCTTGGGGGCCCCAGAGACCCCTCAGCGACCCCACTGAGACCCCAAAAACCCCACAGGAACCCACAGAGACCCTACACACCTGAGCACACCTGAGCACACCTGTGACACACCTGGGCACACCCATGACGCACCTGGGAACGCCTCTCCTACACACCTGTGACGCGCCTGAGCACACCTGGGCACACCTGTGACGCACCTGAGTAGCCGGTGAGGTCCATGGCGCGCAGGTTGGACGCCCGGATGACGGTCACTGTGAGCCGTCCGGCCGTGGGCAGGTAACACAGAGAGAAGTTCACCTCGCCCAGGTCCGGCTTTTCCTGGGGGGACACGGACAGATGAGGGGACAGGTGAGAGAGGACAGGTGAGGGGACACAGGGACAGGTGAGGGACAGGTGAGAGAGGACATGGGGACAGGTGAGGGACGGGTGAGGGGACACAGGGACAGGTGAGAGGAGACAGGTGAGCGGACAGGTGAGGGGACAGGTGATGGACAGGTGAGACGGGACAGGGGGTTATGTGACCATGAATCACTAATTAAATCAGAAATTAAATCACAAATTAAGTTATGGGTTAATTAATAAATCAACTCATCAATTAAATCCCAAATGGAATTATAAATTCAATTCCCAATTAATCACAAATTAAATCCCAAATAAACCCAAATTTGAGTCAGAAATTAAATCATGAATTAAATTATGAGTTAATCAATAAATTAATTCATTAATTAAATGTCAAATGGAGTTATAAGTTCAATACCCAATTAAATCAAATCCCAAATTAAAATCCTAAATTAAATCCCCAAACAAATCAAACATTAAACCAAAAATTAAACCAGGAATTAAATCATTTGAGACTTTTATTATAATAATTAATTTCAGTATTGTAAATAATAAATTTAAATAATATATTAAATCCTAAAATAATTAAATAACAAATCACATCACAGATTAAACCTTAATTTAAATAAATCACAAATTAAAAAATAATCCCAAATTAAATCCCAAATTGTATTACAAATTAAACCTTCAATTACATAATAAATCATAAATTTAACAATAAACTAAACCTCGAATCAAAGCCCTAATCAAGGTGTGAAATCAAATTAAAATTCAAATCAAAACGCAAATTAAACCACAAACTCCACTGCAAAATGAATGCAAACTATATACAAATGAGATGCAAAATAAATTTAAAAATACAAATGAGATGGAAAATAAATACAAATTGCATGTATTTACAGGATGCAAGATGGGGTGCAAATGAGATGTGAATGAGATTCAAAATAAATACAGGTTAGATATGAAAAAAATACAAAATACAAATGAGATGCAACACAAATGATATGCAAATGAGATGCAAAGTAAATACAGATCACATGCAAACACATGTAAATCTTATGTAAGTGATATCCATAATAAATGCAACTCCTTCAGATGAGATGCACAATAAATATTAATTATATGCAGAATAAATACAAATCAGATGCAAATTGCAGGGTAGATAAATAAATACAAATGAGATGCCTAATACAAATGATATGCAAATGAGATGCAAATTCAATGCACATCAGACGCAAATGAGCCCATCCACTGAATCGCAGCCACCGCCCCCCTCACCTGCCCCTACACCTGTCCCAAGGACCCATTTTGGGGGGATTTTGGGGGTCCCACCACCCTTCCCAGGGGGTGCCTGTTCCCCATCCTGATTTTAGGACCCCACTCACTCCTGTCCCCTCCTGGATGTCCCTCCAGACAGGACCCCCTTGGTCATGTCCAGCAGGTTCTCCAGCATCTCCTGCTCCCCTCACCTCTCCCTCCTCCAGCACCACCTACTGCAGGCACCTTTTCAGGGTTCCCTTGCTCATCCCAATTTTGGGATCCCACTCATCCCCATCCCCTCCTGGATGGGTCCCCAGATGGGACCTCCTTGGTCACCTCCACCAGGTCCTCCAGCACCACCTGTGCCCTCACCTGTCCCATGACCCTTTTGAGGATCTTCAGGGGGTCTCCCCTCCCTCCCCAGTTCCCCTCCGATTTCAGGACTCCTCTTACCCCCGTGCCCTCCTGGATGTCCCTCCAGATGGGCACCTCGGGCCGCCCCTCAGCCGCCTCCAGCAGGTTCTCCAGCACCACCTGCCCGATGAGGTCGTGCCGGGAGAAGCGGTCAAAGTCATAGACGCTGAAGTGGAGGCGCCGCGAAGGCAGCTCAGCGAAGGGCACCCCAAAGCTGAAGGTTTCGTCCCACTCTGGGTTCAGCGTCTTCCTCAGCACCTTGGTCTGGAACTTCTTCTTGCGGTCAGGCAGGAGGTAAATCTTCACGTAGGGGTCGGAGAAGCCATTGGAATCCTTGGCCGGGAGGTCACGGGCACGGAGCACGCGGACCACCAGCTGCTGGGAGCCGTAGGAGTAGCGCAGGGACACACTGAGGCGGCCGCAGGGAGGGGGGGCCCCCCCACCGGCGCCCCCCCGGGCACCCCCAGGTTCAGTGGCGTCACCGGGGCCGTAGAGCTCGGGCTGGATCTGGCCCAGGTGGGTTGGGTTCTGCTCAGCTTTGTCTTCTGGCACAGGGGGCAACGGGGTGCTGGGGGGGGGCAAAAATGAGGGGCTGGAGGTTACAGGGGCTGTAGAGACCCACCCTGTGGGGTGGGGAGATCCCCTGTGCCCCCTATGACTCCCCCCAGGGCATGTGGGGACATGGCAGTGGGGTCCCTTGTGCCCCCCCTTCCCCAACTCACAACACTGGGGGCTCCCCATGTCTCAACCTTGACCCCCGTGTCCCCCTCAATCCCCAAATTCCCCCCCCTTGTCCCCATGTTACCTGTGGAACCTGCTTTTGTCCCCCATGCCCCCACCTTGTCCCCACATCCCGCCTCGCCCCCTTGTCCCCAAGTCCTCCCCTTGTCCCCCACATCCCCCTCTTGTCCCCATGTTCCCCAGCCCCCGCTTACCTGCTGCCCACCAGCTGCTGGGAGGGGGCGCTGGGCAGGACCCCCTCCTCCCCCATCCCCCCAAAGTCAGGGGGCCCTGGGGGTCCTGGGGAGTCCCTGCCCCACGGGGAGGGTCCCAGCACCCGTCCGCCCCCACTGCCCCCTCCCCCCCCTCCTTCGGGGCACGGCCCCATGTCCAGGTAACAGCGCTCGTGGGGGGGGGGAGGGGGCTCGGGGTCCCCCCTCTCGGGAAGGGGGTCCCCGAAAGGGCCCCCCCCAGGCTGGGGGGGCTCCTTGCGGGGGGGAGCCCCCCCAGGTCCTCCCTTGTGGCGCCAGGGGACCCAGCAGAGCTTCCAAGACACGAAGAGAGAGACCCCCAGGAGCACGAGGCCGCAGAAGGTGACGATAACAGACAGGAGGCTCACGGACACCTCTGGGGAGGGACATGGGATGAGGGGGTGGTCTAGGGGGGTCCCCGAATAGGGGGAGCCCCAAAACCCACCCAAAATGTTCTGAAAGGTTGGCAAAATTCCCTTAAACCATGAAAAAGGGGCGTGACATCCACTTAAAAACCAGATAAAGTGGCCCAAACCCACCCTAAACCCAAAACAAACCTGGGGTCCCAAATTCCACTTAAACCCTCCTAAAGGGTCTCAAAATCCATTTAAACCCTCCCAAAGTGTCCCAAAACACACCTGGGACCCTCCAGGTATGTCCCTGTCCCCAAGGGCCCTCCAAGAGTGTCCCTGTTCCCAGGTGTGTCCCTGTCCCCAGGTGCCCCCGCACGTGTGTCCCTGTCCCCAGGTGCCCCCCCCAGGTGTATCCCTGTCCCCAGGTGCCCCCTAGGTGTGCACCCCCCCGTACCTGTGTCGGCAGGCCGGGGGTGGCCACGGTGCCGGAGCAGGTCGGTGAACTCGAGGCACCGGGCGTGGGGGGGTCGGGCCCGGGGGGCGAAGCAAAGCTCGTGTACCAGGCGCAAAGCGCTGCGGCAAACGTCCTCCTCATAGTCCCCGGACATGCCTGGAACACACCTGGCACATGGGAACAACACGGGAACAACACGGGACACCAAACACAGGACAAACGTCCTCCTCGTAGTCCCCGGACATGCCTGGAACACACCTGGCACATGGGAACAACACGGGAACAACACGGGACACCAAACACGGGACAAGCGTCCTCCTCGTAGTCCCCAGACATGCCTGGAACACACCTGGCACATGGGAACAACACGGGAACAACACGGGACACCAAACACGGGACAAACGTCCTCCTCGGAGTCCCTGGACATGCCTGGCACATGGGACACGTGTGGGACAAATGTGTTACCCCCCTCAGCATGCCTGTCACACCTGAACACACCTGGATGCACCTGGACACACCTATATACACCTCTACATGCGGGTACACACCTGAACACACCTGGGCACACCTGTATAGACCTGGACACACCCAGAACACACCTAGACACACCTGAACACACCTGTATAGACATGGACACACCTGGATATACCTGGACAAACCTGTACATGTGGTCACACACCTTTACACACCTGTACATGTGGTTATGCACCTGAACATGCCTGGACATGTATGTAGAGACCCAGACATACCTGAACACACCTGTACATATGGTCACACAACTGGACACACCTGGATAGACCTGAACACACCTGGATATACTCAGACACACCTGTACATGCAGTCACACACCTGGGCACACTTGGACATGTAATTGCACACCTGGACACATGTGAACACACCTGGACTAAGCTTGAACACACCTGGATATACCTGGACACACCTGGACACGTGTTGACATATCTGTCACACTTGGACACACCTGGGAAGGGTCCCAGCGAGGTCTCACCTGGATTCTAAAGTCCCCCCAGGCACTGCCCCTCCCTAAACCCCTCCCCTTTCCCAAGCCCTGCCCCCTCACCTGTGGGGTCACCTGTCGGGGGGTCAGCGGGGGCCGGGGGACGAGGGGGGCTGGGCCGGGCCATGCGTGGGGGTGGTCCCAGTGAGGTGGGGGAGGGGGACCTGTGGCAGGGAAGGAGGGGTCAGGGGTGCTTTTGGGGGGTTTGAACCCCAAACTGCCCCCCCGGGGCACAGAAAACCCCCAGATGTGACCCCTCCCCACACACATTGTGAAGTCCACCAAAATCAGACACCCCCCCAAAACCTGCCCCACCAAACAGGGAATCCCCCCTCAAAACTGCCTCCCCAGTGTGACCCCAAATCTGACCCCTAGGGGCACCCCCCAAAGGGGGAACTCCCCCAAAGTGTGACCCCACAACTGACCCCCAAAACCTGCCCCTCCTAAAGCAGCCCCCCAACACCTGCCCCACACCTGAAGCCCCCAAAATCATCCTCAAACCTTCCCACACACGCCTGAACGCCAAAACCTTACCCCCAGTACCTGCCCCCAACACCTGCCCCACACCTGAACCCCCCAAAATCACCCCAAAACCTTCCCCTCCATACTTGAACCCCAAAATCACCCCCAAAACCTGCCCCACACCTGAACCTCCCCAAAATCATCCCTCAAAACCTTCCACCCCACACCTGCCCCACACCTGAGCCCCCCAAATCACCCCCAAACCTTCCCCTAACACCAGCCCCCACACGTGTCCTCCATTTAGCCCCCGCAGATCCCTCCCACGACCTCCCCCCAAAAATCGCTGCCCCCCCTCCCGGACCCCGCGGTCCCTCCGGCCGGGCCCCGCTCACCTGCGGCCCGAGCGGAGCCGAACGAAGCCGAACGGGGACGAACGAAGCCGAACTGGGCCGAACGGAGCCGAACGGAGTCGAACCGGAGTCGAATGGGACCGAATGGAGCCGAACCGGCACGGAGGTCTCCGAATGGAGACGAACCGGTCCGAAGGTCTCCGAACGTCCCCGAAGATACCCGAGCGGAGCCGAACCGATGCCGAAGGTGACCGAAGATGCCAGAGAGGGGTCGACGGGGGCGCGCGGAGACCCGAGGGGGACCCCTACCTAGGACCCCACAGAACTCCCCCATAGACCCCCCCACAGATCCCCTCCAGGCCCCTCGTACACCCCCCACCCCCATACACCCCCATAGAGTCCCCCAGAGACCACCCCAGAGGCCCCCCGGGACCCCAATAGATCCCCCCATAGGTCTCGCCCCACGGGGTTCCGAGACACACGTGAAGATAGATTCGGGGGTCTCCTCTCTCAGGGGGTCCCGCGACTCACCTGGGGGGGGAGGGTTGGAGGTCTCTCCCCCTTCAGGGCGTCTCTAAACTCTGGATTGGACGGTCTAAGGCTGGAGCTCAGCTCTCCCTGGTGGTCTAGTGGTTAGGATTCGGCGCTCTCACCGCCGCGGCCCGGGTTCGATTCCCGGTCAGGGAACAAGAGTTTTCCACTTTTCGTTCCCATTTTCTTCTCTTTTTTAATTCCATTTCCCCACCCTCCAAACTCCTTTTCTATAATAGTTAATAATTTTTTTACAATAAATATGTTACACACTATATATGTGTCATGTACTATATAAGGTATAATATATAATATAATATATAAAAACACACAATAAAATACGTCACTTGCACTATAATAATAATTAAATATTCATGGTTCTTATAATATTAAGATATTTATAATACGTATTATTATTTATAACAAAAACATTAAAACACATACTCTCCCTATAAAAATACATAAAACCGCCTAAAATCCCCATAAAAACACATGCGAAAAACGACAGATTCGCGGCATGGGCGGAGGCACCGCTGGGATTCGAACCCAGGATCTCCTGTTTACTAGACAGGCGCTTTAACCAACTAAGCCACGGCGCCGGCGGTTGATGGCCTTCGAGCAGGGATAATCAGACCTTCCCTCGCCCTCCTCCACTTCTCTCCCCCCTCATCCACTCGAGATTCGGGACCCCCCGAGAGGGGAGATCTCCCCAAAAAAATCTATTTCCTTCTCTAGTGGGGCACTCAGGAGACCCCGAGAGAAGAGATCCCCCCAAAAAACGCACTTACGTCGGTCACAAAGGACTCCCAAAAACCCGCCCCTTGAAGTCCCCCCTCCACGAGTCATTCGAGACTCCCCGAGAGGGGAAACACCCAAAATCCCCCACACACGTGTCCCGGGAACCCCCCGAGAGAGGACACCCTCCAAAAAAAAAACCTTTCCCACCCCCACTCCTTGTCTTGGGACTTTCCCAAACCTCGCCACGACTGTTCCAGGACCCCACACGGGTGGACACCCTCCAAAAAAAACCCTTTACAAGCCCAGGAAAGGGGTTAAAAGGAGGAGGGGGAAAGGAAAATAAGAAAAATTAGTGAGGGGGAAAAAAGGGAAATTAGGAGGAAGTCCGGTGAAAAAAGAAAACTAAAGAAAATGAGTTGGGTAAAAGGGAAAATGAGGGAAAAGGAAAACATAGCTTAGCAGAGGATGGTTTCGATCCATCGACCTCTGGGTTATGGGCCCAGCACGCTCCCGCTGCGCCACTCTGCTCTTCATGAAAGGCGCTTTTATTCCTCCTAAATAACCACATTCAACTAGAGCGGCGCTCAACTGGACGGAAACTGGGAGCAATTTAAAAAAATAGGCGACTTATTGCATCTTATTATACTTGTATGTGTCTATTTACTTATTTTTTATTTAGATTTAATTTATTTACTTTTATTTAATTTATCATACATTGACATTTATTTAATTCATTAACTTTATTCATTTAATAATTTAATTATTTTAATTATTTAATTTAATTTATTTACTTAACTTCTTTATTGCATTCAATTTATTTATGTTTTTCCTTTAATTTATTCGTTTATTTTTATTCATTTAATGTATTTATTGGTTTTGTAAAAATACGTTTAAAACCCTCCCCCACTGCCCGGGTTGGTCCCGCCGGGATTCGAATCCCGTATTTCCCGGGTGGATAAACCACGCCCAGAGGGCGATTCCGACCAGAGACCACGCCTCTAACCACGCCCATTTGCTTGAAGCCACGCCTCCCAAGAAGGCTGATCGGCGCGGGGCGCGCGTGCGCAGCCGCGGACGAGGTGGCCGAGTGGTTAAGGCGATGGACTGCTAATCCATTGTGCTCTGCACGCGTGGGTTCGAATCCCACCCTCGTCGGGTCTCGCATTTTAGGGGGGCTCCCCCTCAAAACCGTCCCCCTTTCGTTTAAGTTCGTTTTTGGGGGGACCCACAGCAAATCCCGGCATTTTCCTCCTCCTTTTATATAGCTTTTTCCATCCTTGTTTGTCCTTTCCCCTCTCTTTTGAAATCCTTTTCCTGCCTTTTTTTTCCAGCCTTTTCCCGCGGTTTTCAACAATTTTTCCACTTTTTCCCACCCTTTTCCACCTTTTTCCTACTCTTACTCATCCTTTTCTACAGTTTTCCCATCTTTTTTTCCCACTATTTCCATCATTTTCCACCCTTCCCCCTCTCTTTCTATACCGTTTTCCCTCCCTTTCCCCCCTTTTCCCACCCTCTTCCCACCTTTTTCCACAAACAGATAAAAACAGGTTAAAAAAAAAAGGCAAAAAACAGGGAATTTTATTCAACTCCCCTTTTTTGGGGGTCCCCGGATATTCCCAGCTCATTTCCAGGTGATTCCATCCCATTCCCAAGTGTTCCCATCCCATTTCCAGGTGTTACTATCCCACTTCCAGGAGTTCCATCCCATTCCCAAGTATTTCCATCCCATTTCCAAGTGTTTCATTCCCACTTCCAGGTGCTTTTATCCCATTTCCAGGTGTTTCCAGCCCATTCCAGGTGTTTCCAGCTCATGTTCAGGTATTTCTGTCCCATCCCCATGCGTGTCTAACCCATCCCCAGGTACTTCCAACCCACTTCCAGGTGTTCCAGACTCATCTCCAGATGTTTCTGACCCATTCCCAGGAGTTTCTGACCCATCCCCAGGTGTTTCTATCCCATCCTCAGGTGCTTCCAGTTCATTCCCAGATGTTCCTTTGCCCTCCCCAGGTGTGTCTGACCCATACCCAGGTGTGTCTGACCCATACCCAGGTGTGTCCAACCCACTCCCAGGTACTTCCAACACATCCTCAGGTGTTCCAGACCCATATCCAGGTGTGCCTATCTCATCCCCAGGTGTGTCCGATCCATCCCCAGGTCTGTCTGACCCACTCCCAGGTACTTCCAGTCCACTCCCAGGTGTGTCCAACCCATCCCCAGGTGTTTCTTTCCCATCCCCAGGTGTGTCCGCCCCATCCCCAGGTGTGCCCTCCCCGCTCCCACCCCCACCAGGCCCCTCTGCTCCCCCTCCCCAGCACCTGTGCAGGTACCTGTTCACCTCCCCGGCGTGGCTCCGCCGGTCGGGCTCCAGCCGGAGGAGCCTCCGGAGCATCTCCAGCGCCGCCTCCCCCAACCCCCTCCAGGCACGCGGTACCTCCCCTCCACCACAGGTGAGCCCACCTGGCTGCCACGTGTGGCCCTGCCACACCTGGAACTCCCCAAACTGGGGATCCTGGGGTGCGGCAGCCCCCCAGGGGAAGGTGCCGGTGAGGAGGGCGAAAAGGAGGATGCCGAAGGCCCAGGTGTCCAGGCTGGGCTCCAGGCGCAGCGTCTCCGCTGCATGCAGGTGGCACAGCTCAGGTGCAGCATAGGGGGCGTGGCCCGAGCCACGGGTGGGCCCCACCTGCCAGCCCATGACGCGGGTGAGGCCAAAGTCGCCCAGTTTGACCAGCCGGCACTGGGGGTCGAAGGCCAGCACGTTGTCCAGCTTCACGTCGCGGTGCACCAGGGCGTGGCCATGCAGGTAATCCAGGGCCGCGCCCACCTGGGTGGCCACGCGCTTCACCTGCGGCTCGGGCAGGCCCACCTGGTGACGGGGGGGACACGCCTGGTGGGACACAGGGTCACCCAATGTCACCTGTGGTCACCCGCTGTCACCTGGGGTCACCCACAGTCACCTGGAGTCATCGTTTGGGTCACCTGTGGGGTCACCTGTGAGGGCAGGGATTCACCTGGGACTCAGGGAGACTCACCTGGGGACGGGGGGACACACCTGGGGTCACCTGGAGACACCTGAGGTCCCCTGGTGTCACCTGCGGTCACCTGGAGTAACCTATTGGCACCTGGGGTCATCTGTGGGGTCACCTGTGAGTGCAGGGGTTCACCTGGGGCTTGGGGAACCCGCAAAGGTCCCCGGCAAGTGCATCTACACCCTCCCCCACACACCTGTCCCCCTCTCAAGCACACTTGTGTCCACCCCAGACACACCTGAGCACTCACCCAGGTGTGAACAGCCCGCACAGGTGAGTCCCTCACACAGGAGCACTCACCCCAGGTGTGAGCAGCCCGCACAGGTCCCCGGCAGGTGCGTGTTCCTGCGCGAAGCCAAAGTGGGTGGGGGTCTCGAAGGCCAGGGGCAGCACCTGCAGGCAGGTGAGCTGCCCCTTCAGGCACAGGTGGGTGCAGAACTCCCGCAGGAAGCCCCACCTGCCCGTCCGGTCCTTCTGCAGCAGTTTCAGCACCACTGGTGCACCTGGGCAAGGAGGGGGACACATCTGGGCACACCTGGGAGCACCTGGGGATGGGTTATACCCCCACAGACACACCTGGGCACACCTGAGAGCAGCTGGGCACACCTGGGGATGGATTATACCCTCATAGACACACCTGGGCACACCTGGGGACAGGTTATCCCACCCCAGAGACCCCCCCCACCCCGAGCCCCTTGGATCCCCCAAGTGTGTTCAGGGGCGGAGCCTCGGGTGTGATAGGTGCTCACCTGGTGCACAGGTAATCCCAAATCCCCCTCCCCAGCCCCCCCAGTGCCCCACCAGCCCCTCACCCCCGTCCCGGGGCTGTGCCAGCACCACGTGCCCATAGGAGCCACTGCCCAGTTCTCCCAGTATGTCCCAGTCCCGCTCCAGGTGGCACTGGGGGAGGTCTCGTCCCGTCTGAACCATCAGGTGCTGCAGGAGCCGCTCCTGGGCCTCCCCCTCCTCCTCCTCCTCCTCCTCATCTTCCTCCTCAGCCACTGCTTCCATGGGCCCTGGGAACCAGTATGCACCAGTTCACTCCAATACAGCCCAGACCAGTTCAACCCTCATCCTCCTCGTCTTCATCTTCATCCCCCTCCTCCTCCTCTGGGGTAGCCCAATATAGACCAGTGTAGACCAGTACGGTCAATCTCAGCCCAGCTCAGCCCATTCCATCCCAGTTCAGCCCAGTATAGCCCAGTTCAACCCAGTGCAGTCCAGCTCATCCTAGTCCATCCCAGTCCAGTCCATTCCAGTATAACCCAGTCCATTCCAGCCCAGCTCAATCCATCCCACTCCATCCCAGTATAACCCAGTCCATCCCAATCCATCCCAGTATAACCCAGTCCAACCCAGTCCATCTCATTCCATCCCAATACAACCCAGTCCACCTCAGTCCTTCCCAACATCCAGGTCTCCCCCTCACCTGCCCCCAGGTGCCCCCCCCAAGTACCTGTCCCCCAACCCACCTGTCACCACCCCCCTTGCCCCCCTCCCACTGCAGTGCCACCAAGGCCACGTGTCCCCTGCGGTGGCCCGGGTGTTCCCAGGGGTGGCCCAGGTGTCTCACCTGTGTGCCCCGGCAGGTCAGGGGGTGTCGGTGACCCCCCAGGTGCCCCCCCAGGTGCCCCTCCAGGTGCCCCCTCAGCGGCCCCCGTGGTTGTGACTCAGAGTTTCCCGTGCCTGTGGTGCCACCCGGGCCCCGCTAATCTCTGTCACCTGCGTGTGGGGACACGTGTGTGTCACCCACGGCCAAAGATGGGCACGGGAGGGGCGCAGAGGGCGGGGACAATGGGACATGGTGGGGCTTTGGGGACATGCGGGGACAGGGGGGCAGGGGCTGGGGGACATTGGGGACACTGGGGACATGGAGGGGACACAGGGGGACACGGAAGGGCTTTGGGGACATGGGGGGACAGAGGGACAAGGAGGGGACATGGGGACATGGCAGGGACAGAGGGGACAGAGGGACAAGGGGAACATCAGGTGGACATGGGGGGACATGGAGGAGACATGGGGGGACAAGGAGGAGACAGAGGACAGGTTGGGGGACAGTCTCCCCAGTGTACCCCCAGTGCCCCCAGTGTCCCCAGTAAGAAGGGGTTTCAGTGCACTGGGAAGAGGTTTGGGGGCACTGGGATGGACTGGGAGGCACTGGGAAGGGACTGGGATAGACTGGGAGGGGAGGTTTGGGGACAACAGGAAGGGATTTGGGGACACTGGGATGGGGCCTGGGTGGCACTGGGATATATTGGGGGGCACTGGGAAGGGCCCAGTCCCTCCCAGCCCATCCCAGTCCCCCCCAGTGCATTGAAACTGCCCCCCCAGTGCCTCCCAGTATACCCCAGTTTACCCAAGTCCCCTCCCAGTTCCTCTCAGTCTCTCCCAGTCCCCTTCCAGTGCCTCCCAGTCCAAATTCAGTGCCTCCCAGTATAACCCAGTATACCCCAGTCCTTCCCAGTGCTCCTGGTCCCTCCCAGTGCCCCCGGTGATGGTGCCACTGGTGCCACTGGTGCCACTGGTGCCACCTGGCCCTGCTCCCCCCGGCTATTTCGGGTCCCCCCGCACCTGTCCCTGCTCCTCCCCCACCCGGGCCCCCTGCCAGACCCTCCCCCACCCCAGGGGGGGCCTGGGGGGGGCTCAGGGTACTGGGAGGCATTGGGAGAGACTGGGAGGTACTGGGAGGTACTAGGAGGGGACTGGGAGATACTGGGGGACACTGGGAGAGACTGGGAGGGACTGGGAGGGGACCGAGAGGGAGTCTGAATGCACTGGGAGGCTCTTTGAGAGGACTGGAAAATACTGGGAGGGAGTTCAATGCACTGGGAAGGGACTGGGATGGACTGGGGGGAGCTGGAAAGGGATTTGGGGACACCAGGAGGGACTGGGGGAGGAGTAGGGGACACTGGGCAGGGGTTTCAGTGGACTGGGAGGGAACTGGGGTGGACTGGGAGGGGGTTTCAGTGCACTGGGCTGTACTGGGAAGGGGTCTCAGTGCACTGGGCTCTGCTGGGCCATACTGGGAGGTGCCGGGGTCGGGCCAGGTGTTGCTGGAGGGGGGGAATTTGGGGGGTCGTGACCCCCCCCCGGGAGCAGCTGTTCACTAACGAGCTGACGGGGGTTAATTACCGGCCGGGAATGATTAATTGCCCTGGGCGGGTGATTAATGAGCCCCTGGCAGTGATTAATCGCCCTCGGTGGGGGGTATTAATTACCCGCAGGGGGGAGGGAGGGGATTAATGAGCCCCCGCAGGGTCACGGCCCTGACAGGTGACACCAACAGGTGGGGAGGGGAGGGGACGGGGGGGCGGGACAGAGGGGGGGCACTGGGGGCACTGGAAGGGGGGTTAGAGACACTGGGAAGGGGTTGGGAGGGACTGCGATATACTGGGAGGCACTGGGATGGACTTTCAAAGCACTGGGGGACACTGGGAGGGACTGGGGCCATACTGGGGGATACTGGTGGTCAGTTGGGCCATACTGGGAACCACTGGGGCCACATCGGGGGTCACTTGGGCCATACTGGGGGATACTGGGACCATACTGGTCACGCCCCATAACCTCCATAAGCCCCACCTCCCCAACATGACCACGCCTCCTCAAGGCCCTCCCCCCCAAGGATGAGACACACTTTTGGGGAGGGGAGGGGCACTTTTATTGCCAGGAGGACACAGGTAACGCCCCTTCCCCCCAGATACTCCCAGGTATCCCGTCACCTGGGACAGGTGCCCCCTCAGGATCCCCCTCACCTGCTCACCTGGGGCAGTGCCCCCACAGGAGCCCACAGGTACCCCCTTACCTGCTCACCTGCAGGCACAGGTAGGCAGATGCCCCTCCCAGCACCTCCAAGGTCTCCAGGTGGGCACCGGGCACCTCCTCTGTGGGTTCCAGGTGCACAGGGGGCACCTCCAAAGTCTCCAGGTGGGCATTTGTCACCTCTTCCATGGGCTCCAGGTGGACACTGGGCACCTCCATCACCTCCAGGTGGGCACTGGGTACCTCTGAGGTCTCCAGGTGTCCACTGGGCACCTCCTCGGGGGGCTCCAGGTGGGCACTGAGCACCTCTGATGTCTCCAGGTGCACAGGGGGCACCTCCAAGGTTTCCAGGTGAGCACAGGGCACTGCCTCAGGGGGTTCCACGTCGGCACTGGGCACCTCTGTGGGCTCCAGGTGTGCACAGGGCACCTCCTCAGGGGGTTCCAGGTGGGCACTGGGCATCTCTGCTGTCTCCAGGTGAGCACTGGGCACCTCCAAGGTTTCCAGGTGGATGTTGGGCACCTCCATCGCTTCCAGGTGGGCACTGGGCACCTCCGTGGCAAGTTCCAGGGTCATAGGGGGCACCTCCAAAGTCTCCAGGTGGGCACTAGGCACCTCTGAGGTCTCCAGGTGAGTACTGGGCACCTCCAAGGTTTCCAGGTGGACACTGGACACCTCCTCTGTGGGCTCCAGGTGGACAGGGGGCACCTCAGGCAGTGTTGGCAGCACCTGGAGGTGGCCATTGGTCACCTGGGAGGGCGGTGGCATTGCTTGGAGCTGGACACTGGTCACCTCAGGTGGTGGTGGCAGCACCTGGAGCCGGACGTTGGTCACCTGGGAGGGCGGTGGCAGCTGGACATTGGTGACATCTGAGGGCCGTGGCGGCACTTGGAGCTGGACGTTGGTCACCTCCCTCGCTTGGAGCTGGCCACTGGTGACATCCAGGCGTGGTGGCAGCGTGTGGAGCTGGACATTGGTTACCTGGGAGGGTGGTGGCAGCACCTGGGGCTGGACACTCATCACCTCAGTGGCCTGGAGATGAACACTGGGCACCTCAGGCGGTGGTGGCAGCACCTGGACTTGGACATTGGCCACCTCACCTGCTCGGAGCTGGACACAGGTGACACCTGAGGGTGGTGGCTGTGCCTGGAGCCGGACACTGGTCACCTCAGGGGGCGGTGGCAACACCTGGAGCTGGACATTGGCCACCTCACCTGCCTGGAGCTGGACACAGGTGACATCCAGGGGTGGTGGCAGCACCTGGAGCTGGACTTTGGTGACCTCAGGTGGAGGTGGCAGCACCTGGAGCTGCACTCTGGTGACACCTGAGGGTGGTGGCAGCGGTTGGAGCTGGATATTGGTCACCTCAGGTGGTGGCGGCAACACCTGGAGCTGGACTTTGGTCACCTCGGAGGGCGCCTGCAGCACCTGGAGCTGCAGCCCTGTCACACCTGCAACACCTGTGACACCTGTCACCCCTGTCACACCTGTGACGCCTGTGACATCTGTCACCCCTGGCACACCTGTCACTCCTGTCACACCTGTGACACCTGGCATTCCTGTCACACCTGTCATACCTGGCACCCCTGTCACACCTGGCACTCCTGTCACCTCGGTGGCCTGAAGCTGCACCCCTGTGACACCTGAAACACCTGTCACACCTGTGACACCAGTCACACCTGTCACACTTGTCACCCCCGTGACACCTGTGGTACCTGTCATCCCTGCCACACCTGTCACACCTCTCACTCCTGTCACCTCCCTGCCCTGCACCTGGATATTGGTGACCTCCTGGGCTGCCGGCAACACCTGGAGCTGCACACCTGGCAGCCCTGTCACACCTGCCACACCTGGAACAGCTGTCACCCCTGTCACACCCGTCCCCTCCCTGCCCTGGACATTGGTGACCTCTGGCAACACCTGGAGCTGCACACCTGGGACACCTGCCACACCTGTCCCACCTGTGACCCCTGACACATCTGTCACACCTGTGACCCCTGACACAGCTGACACACCTGTGACACCCACCACACCTGTCATCTCAGTGGCCTGGAGGAGCTGCACACCTGCCCCCCCTGTCACACCTGTTGCTACCCCTGCCACACCTGTCGCTACCCCTGCCACACCTGTCGCTACCCCTGCCGCCTCAGCCACCTGCACCTGCACACTTGCAGGCCCCATCCCGCCCCTCAGCACAATCACACTCGTCCCTGCCCCCTCCTGCCCTGCCCCAGGTGGCACCACCAGGACGCTCTGCCAGGTGTGCGGCCCCTTCCCCACCTGCGCCAGGTGAGCCCGTGCAGGCACCTGGGCAGGCTTGGTGGGGCCGGGCAGCAGCAGCACCTTACGGGGCGTGGTGGGCGGCGGGGCCAACCCCTCCCGCAGCAGCAGGCAGGCCGGAGGGTGCGGCTCAGGTGTGCGGTGGGTGCGCAGGTGGCGCTGCAGGTAGGCGGCCACAACGAAGGCCTTGGGGCAGGTGGGGCAGCGGAAGGGCCGCGCAGCTGAGTGGGTGCGGCGGTGCAGGTGCAGGTTGGAGGAGTGGGTGAAGCTCTTGCCGCAGGTGCCGCAGGTGTAGGGCCGCTCCCCCGTGTGCACCCGCAGGTGCTGCCGCAAGTTGGCCGCCTGCGCGAAGCCCTTCCCGCAGGTGCCGCAGGTGTGGGGCCGCTCCCCCGTGTGGGTGTGGCGGTGCCGCCGCAGGCTTGAGGAGTTCTTGAAGGCCTTGGGGCAGGCGGGGCAGCGGTAGGGCCGCTCCCCCGTGTGCGCCCGCAGGTGGTACTGGTAGTGTGATGCCCACTTGAAGGTGAGGCCGCACTGGGCGCACTCGAAGGCTCTGATGCCCGTGTGCACCCTCAGGTGAGTCTGCAGCAGCGAGGAGCGCTTGAAGGCCTTGCCGCAGGTGGCGCAGGTGTAGGGCCGTTCGCCCGTGTGGTCCCGCAGGTGGTAGCGCAGCCCTGAGGAGCCCTTGAAGGCTTTGCCGCACTCACCGCACCGGTATGGCCGCTCGGGGGGCGGCGGCGGCTCCTCAGGGGCGGGCGTGGCCTCAGCCACCTCCTCGGGCGGACCCGCCAGGTGAGCGCAGGGCTTGGCGCAGGGGCTGCCCCGGGGCCGCTCGGGCAGGTGAGGCCGCATCGAAGGGCTCTTGGGGCTCTTCCCGCAGGCGAGGCAGCGCTGGGGTGGCGCCGGGGGCGGCCCGGCCGCCTCCCGCCCCACACAGGTGAGGCCTCTCCGCGGCGGCTCCTCGGGGGTGTTGGGGCCGTGTCCCAGCGGGGACCTCTGCGGGCAGGTGAGCGAGGCCAAGAGAGTGTGCCCTGGTGGATGGGCGGGGCCGTGGGTGCGGCGGTGCAGGTGCAGGTTGGAGGAGTGGGTGAAGCTCTTGCCGCAGGTGCCGCAGGTGTAGGGCCGCTCCCCCGTGTGCACCCGCAGGTGCTGCCGCAAGTTGGCCGCCTGCGCGAAGCCCTTCCCGCAGGTGCCACAGGTGTGGGGCCGCTCCCCCGTGTGGGTGTGGCGGTGCCGCCGCAGGCTTGAGGAGTTCTTGAAGGCCTTGGGGCAGGCGGGGCAGCGGTAGGGCCGCTCCCCCGTGTGCGCCCGCAGGTGGTACTGGTAGTGTGATGCCCACTTGAAGGTGAGGCCGCACTGGGCGCACTCGAAGGCTCTGATGCCCGTGTGCACCCTCAGGTGAGTCTGCAGCAGCGAGGAGCGCTTGAAGGCCTTGCCGCAGGTGGCACAGGTGTAGGGCCGCTCACCCGTGTGGCCCCGCAGGTGGTAGAGGAGGGCGGAGGAGCCCTTGAAGGCCTTGGGGCACTCGGGGCACTTGTAGGGCCGCTCACCGGTGTGGCTGCGCAGGTGGTGGGACAGGCGGGACGACCAGCGGAACGACTTCCCGCACTCCCGGCAGGTGAAGGGGTGCTCGGGGGCACCTGGAGCGGGGGCGGCGCCCGCCATGGTCACACCTGGAAGGGGGCACGGGGGGCAGGTGAGACCCCAGATCCAGCATGGAAGGAAGGGGGAGACAGAAACAGAGCGGAGGGGGAGTGGTCAACACAGGGGGGCGTGACCAGAAAATCTCTGTCCCCGCCCCCTTCGTCCCCTCAGGCCACGCCCCGCCCCCTCCTCTTCAGGCCCCGCCGCGCGAGAGCCCCACCAGGCCACGCCCTGTTCCCCCCTCAGGCCCCGCCCCGTCCTCCCCTCCGTGTCGCCTCCCCGCGCAAGCGCTGCCGCCGCTGCCCCGCCGCTTCCTCCTCCTCCTCCTCCTCCTTTTCCTCCTCACCCGGTTCTCGCTCAGCCGCCGGCGCCGCGCCGGGATCTCGGAGGCTCCTCCAGGGCCCGAACCAGGGCAGGGCTGGACCCGCCGCCGCGCAACGACCGGGCCGCGCTGCCTCACGAGGCCACACCCCCTCCCTCCTGAGGTCACGCCCCATCTCTGAACGCACAGCGGCGAAGGCCACGCCCCCTCCAGACCGGTCACGCCCCTCTGTCGCATTCTGGGACGTTTTACTGGTTTTTACCGGTTTTTACTGGTTTTTAATGGAAGTTACGATTATTTTAGGGGGGTTACAGATCCCGTGTATGGCTCTGGTGGTCCCCCCAGTATTACCCCCGGTATGGCCCCAGTGTCCTCCCAGTACAGCCACAGTATCCCCCAATAAAGACCAACAGACACCTAGAACAGTTCACAGGTATCTTTGAGGGGAGTCCCAGGTCATTTTGGGGGGCTCTCAGGTGATTTTTTTTGGGGGGGGCAGGTATTTTAGCGGGTCCCGGACGATTTGGAGGAGTTCTCAGGTGTTTTGGGGGAGTTCCTGGTGGTTTTTGGGGGGCTGCTATGGCTCAGGTGAGGTCCCGGCTTCCTGTGGCACCTGGAGCAGGGGCTTGTCTGCAAAATTTGGGGGCGTCAGAGGGGTCCTGGGGGTCTTGGGAGGGATCTGAGGGAGGTTTGGGGGGATGGGGAGGGATTTTGTGGAGGTCCTGGGGGTCTTGGAAGGGGTTTGAGGGAGGTTTGGCGGAGGGTTGGGGGCACTGGGAGGGATTTTGGGGAGGTTTGGGGGTTCTTGGAGGGTCCTGGAGGAGCCCTTGGTTTTTGAGGGGGGTTTTGATGTCCTTAGGAGGGGTTGGAGGGTCCCTGGGGTGTCCTAGAGGGTCTTGAGGGGTTTGGGGGCACTCTGGAGGGGCTTGGGAAGGGGTTTTTGGGGGGTTGAAGGGTCCAGGAGGGCTCTGGGGGTCTTGGGAGGGGGTTTGGGGGAGGTTTGGGGGGTCTTGGCAAGGGTTTGGAAGGGGTTTCGGGAGGGGTTAGGGGTCCTGGGGGTCTTGTGAGGGATTTTGAGGGCTTCTGGGGACTCTGGGGGCTTTTGAGGGGTCTTGGGGGATTCGTGGAGGGTCCCTGCCCTTTCCCTCAGCCTTACCTGTGAAGCGCCGGCCCCACCTGGCACACCTGGCCCACAGGTAGAGCCCCAGGAGGGCCCCGCAGAGCCCCCCGCCCACCCCCAGCAGCCCCTCCAGCACCGAACAGGAGCCCAGCAGGTCTGCAGGTGAGACAGGTGAGATGGGACAGGTGAGACTGACATAGCTGAGACAGGGGAGCACAGGTGACAGATGATGATATACAGGTGAGGACAGGTGAGAACAGGTACTCAGAGATGCCTCACCTTCGACCTCCTCGCAGGCCACTCGGGCAGCCCCACCTGCATGGCAGGTACCTGGCCCTGCCCCCTCCTTCAGGCACTCCAGGAGCAGCATCTCAGAGCCCCGACAGGTGATACCCTCCATCATCGTCCCTGGGGCCGGGTGAGCCCTGACAGGTGCGCTGAGGGCGGGGCCGCAGCCCAGCTCCCTGCACACCACCTGTGCCTCCAGCAGGCTCCAGGTGTGGCCGCACACGCCCAGCCAGGTGTGGTTGTGCAGCACCTGCACCTGCCCCGCACAGGGCCCAGGGCCATCCCGCAGCCGCACCTGCAGGGGGGTGGGACCTGCGAGGGAGGGGCACACACCTGAGCACACTTGGGCACACCTGGGCAACCTACAGCCCCCCACCTGTGTTACCTGAGCACACCTGAGATTCCTCCCTGGACCCACCCGAGTCCCAGCCCCAGGACCCACCTGAGCACCCAAACCCTCCTGCTCCCACCCAGCCCCCCTGAATCCCCCCCATACCCCCCACCCGCCTCACCTGCACCCACCTGAAAACACCCTTGAGCCCACCGCCGCTCCTGCCACCCCCACAATCCCCCAGACCTCCTTCAGCCCCACACCTGACCACACCTGAGCCCACTGCCCCTCCTGCTCCCCCTTAACCCTCCCCAGACCCTCCCCCAAGCCTCACCTGCGCTCACCCAGGCCTCACCTGTGCACACCACGCCCGCGTCCTCGCTATGGCCACAGTCGTGCTCGCCCCAGGTGTGCAGCTGGCACTGCACCAGCTCCTGCTCCCTACCTGTGCAGTGGGCACCGTCCAGCCAGATGGGATCCGCCCCCTGGCCAAAGTGGGCCTGGCCGGGCGCGGCCAGGGCGTGGCCGCAGCCCAGCTGGCGGCAGATCACCTGCGCGTCCTGCAGGTCCCACGTGTCGTCGCAGACCGTGCCCCACTTGTGCTCGTGGAACAGCTCCACCCGGCCCGCGCAGGTGCTGGAGCCGTTGGCCAGGCGCACCTGCAGCCGCGGCACCGCCTCTGCTCCTGCGGGGGGGAGGTAGGACAGGTGTGGCGCATCTGGGGCGGGGCTCCAGGTGCACCTGGGGCGCAACTTTGGGCGGGAAAAGGAGTTCTGGGGCTGGCAGGTGAGTGCTGGGAGGGGTTTGGGGGGCAGCGGGTGGCTCCAAGCGGGTCTTGGCCGCAGGTGTGGGTCCAGGTGAGTTCGGGTCGGTGGTGGGGTGGAGGAAGGTGTTGTGGGCCTGACAGGTAAGGCTGGGAGGGTCCTGGGGCCAAGAGGTGACCGTGAGATGGTTTGGGGGTCAACAGGTGAATCTGGGGCTGTCCTGGGGTCGACAAGTGAGTCAGTGACAGTTTTGGGGTCAATAGGTGAGTCTGGCAGGGTCCTGGGCTCGAGTGTGGCCACAGGTAGGTCTAACCAGGTAACTCTCCCCCCGACCTCCCTGAGCCCCCCACCCACCCCTACCTGAGCCCCACCTGCCTCACCTGCGCAGACCACGCCCACGTCGGCGCTGTGCTCACACCTGGCCTCTCCCCAGTGCCCCACCTGGCACTCGCCCAGGTGGCCCTCGGTGCCCGTGCAGGTGACCCGGTCCAGCCACACTGGCCCCTCCCCCTGCCCGAAATGGGCCTCGCCCAGCGCCGACAGGGCAGGGCCACAGCCCACCTGGCGACAGACCACCTCAGCCTCGGCCAGGCCCCAGGTGTGGCCACAGAGTGTCCCCCACCTGCTCAGGTGAAGCACCTCCACGCGCCCCGCGCAGGGCCCGGGGCCGCCCGCCAGGCGCATCGGGACAGGTGAGGGCGGGGCCAGGGCGAGACCTGCATGGGCGAGGAGAGAACAAAGGCAGAGTCAGGACAGGTGTGTGGGGAGGGGCAGGTGTGTTTCAGGTGTGACCCTGAAGTCCAAGTGTGACCCCAATGTCCAGGTGTTCCCCGTGTCCAGTTGTGTCCCCACCTCACCTGTCCCTACCCCACCTGTCCTCCCCCAGGTGTGTCCCCCCTACTCACCACTCAGGGACAGGTAGAGGAGCAGGCCCAGGTGACTCTGCAGGTAAAGGAGCCTCATGTCGGGCATGCACACCTAGGCACAGGTGAGGTCCCAGCAGGGGCTGGGGTGGGCACAGGTGTGGCCTGCACAGGTGAGAAGGTGTGGCCTGCAGGGGTGAGAAGGCGTGTCCTGGACAGATGAGTGTCCCCCCAACACCTGAGACCCCCCAGACACACCCGGGGACGCCCAGACCTGAGCCCCTCCCCACCCCCAGCAGTTTAGGGACCCCCAGACCCACCTGAGACTCCCCAGACACACCTGAGCCCCGCACCAGCAGTTTCAGGGACCCCCAGACATACCTGAGCCCCCCTAGGTGGGATTTACCTGCCCCCCCGAAGCAGGTGCAGCCCCCTCAGGTGCCCCCTCCGCGTGCCGTGGGTGGGGGAGGGGGAACTTCTGAACCCTCCTGGACTGGTCCTGGGGTTTTTTTCCCGGAAAAAGTCGCTGATGCAACCGCGGGGTCACCGGAGGGAGGGGAGGAGGGAAGGGTCACCTGGACACCTGGCGCAGGTCCAGGTGGGGAGGGGCCACCCCAGTTGGATGCCGGGACTCCTCCCCTACCCCCACGCCCAGGATCGGCTCACCTGGGCCAGGATGGGGGGCTCAGGTGGGCGTCGGACCCTCCCTAGGGGGCACCCCCTCACCTGGAGAGGGGGAGCACTGCGGACCCTCCTGGCCGTGACGTACCTGTGCGGTGAGTGACGTCACGGGGGTCGGGGGTGGGGGGTGGGGACCAAAATTGCGGGGTTTGGCCCAAAATTGAAAGATTTTGACCTAAAATTGAAGGAGTCTGACCTCAAATGGAAGGGTTTGACCCAAAATCAATGGATTTTACGTCAAAATTGACATATTTTGACCCCAAATCCACATATTTTAACCCAAAATTGACATTTAGCCCCATGTGAAAGAATTCTGCTCCAAAATCGGCATCTTTTGGCCCAAATCAATGGATTTTACCCACATATTGAGATATTTTGACCCCGTATCAATGGATTTTGCCACAAAAACAAACTCTTTTGCACAAAAGTTGGTGGATTTTGCCCCCAAATCATCTTTTTTCCCCAAAATCATTTTCCCCCAAATTTGTCTTCTTTTGCCCCAAAATCGAGGAGGCGTACCCTGAAATCAACATATTTTACCACCAAATCGACTTTTTTTGCCCTGAATTTGCCAAGTTTTCCCCCAAAACCAACATTTCTCCCTTTCCCTGCGGTAAAAACCTGCAAAAACTGTGATTTTCCACCATTTCTTCTCGTTTTTTTTTCTTCCCGGGAATTTCCGGGCTCACAGCCAAATTCTCCCTTTTGGGCCCCACATCGATTTTCTGGGGGCAAAAGTCGCAATTTTTGTGTGGTTTGAGTTTGTTTGAGGACCCAGCTGAAATCACGTGGTTCCCCAGGCCCGGGACCTTCAACTGCAGCAGTTTTTCCCTATTTTCCCAAGTCTTCCCAAGTTTTCCACATTAGTCTTCGCTTCCCCTTACTTGTCCCAGATGTGTCCCCCTCCCCCAGGGGGTTTCCCTTCACCTCCCAGGGGTTGCCGAGCTCACCTGTTCCCTTTACCTGTCCCAGGTGCGTCCCCGTCCCCCGCAGAGGTCTCGGTGCGGCTCCAGGGGGGTCCCGACGGCTGCTCGGGGCGAGTGGAGGTGCTGCACAACCTCACCTGGGGCACGGTGTGCGACGACGGCTGGGGCGTGGCCGAGGGCGAGGTCACCTGCGCCCAGGTGGGCTGCGGGCGGCTGCGGGCGCTGGCCCCCGGCGCCAGGTACGGCGAGGGCGAGGGGCCCATCTGGCTGGACGAGGTGAAGTGCGTGGGGCACGAGCGGCACCTGGGGCAGTGCCGGGCGCGGCCCTGGGGACACCACAACTGCGGCCACAGGGAGGACGTGGGCGTTGAGTGCACAGGTGAGGGGCTGCCCGCCCGCCTTTTCTTCCCAGCCTTTTCTTCCCTTTTCCCCATTTCCCCCCGATTTTCCTGGATTTCCCCTCATTTTCCCCAATTTTCCCTGATTTTTTCTCGATTTTCCCCCATTTCCCCCCATTTTCCCCAGTTTTCCTTAATTTTCCCTGATTCCCCAATTTCCTTCGATTTTCCTCCTTTCCCCCCTTTTTCCCCTATTTCCCCCCATTTTTCTCCAATTTTCCCCTTCCCCGTTTTTCCAAATTTTCCCTTTTTTTTCCTGATTTTTCCCTAGTTTTCCCTGATTTTCCTCAGTTTCCCTCCTGCCTCACCTATCTTACCTGTTCCACTTGTCTTCCCCGTCCAGGACATTTCTCCCCCATTTCCCCCTTTTTTTCCCCATTTCTCCCCTTTTCCCGCCAAATTTTCCCCCCTCACCTGCCTCACCTGTCCCACCTGTCCCCCCCAGAATCGATGACGTCATCGCTGGGCTCGCTGCAGCTGCGGGAGGGCCCCGATCGCTGCTCAGGACGGGTGGAGCTGCTGCACCTGCACAGGTGGGGCACGGTCTGCGACGATGGCTGGGACCTGCGGGACGCGCAGGTGATCTGCCGCCACCTGGGCTGCGGCCACGCCCTGGCCGCGCCCGGCCACGCCCACTTCGGGCGGGGCCACGACGTCATCTGGCTGGACGAGGTGAACTGCACTGGGACAGAGAATTCCATCCTGGAATGTCCCGCCAAGCCCTGGGGAGACAACAACTGCTTCCATGGGGAGGATGCTGGCGTCATCTGCTCAGGTGAGCTCAGCTGGGACACTTGGGACACCTGGGGACACACCTGGGGACACACCCGGGACACCTGGGGATACCTGGGAACATCTGGAGACACCTGGGCACACCTGGGAACACACCTGGGGCACACCTGGGGCACCCACCCCCTGCCTCCCCCAGCCCCTCCAGGTGAGATCACCTGTGTCGTTGCAGCCTCCGGGATGGCGGTGCCCACTCAGGTGCGCTTGGCCAACAGCTCCGCCCGCTGCCAGGGGCAGGTGCAGGTGTCCTACGGGGGCACCTGGGTGGCCCTGTGTGACCACGGGTGGGGCCTGGCCGAGGCCCAGGTGGTCTGCAGGCAGGTGGGCTGTGGCCACGCCCTCTCTGCACCTGGAGGCTCCTGGTTCGGGCAGGGGCAGGAGAAGGTGTGGCCAGGGAGTGTCACCTGCACTGGGACAGAGCAGGAGCTCCTGGACTGCCAGGTGAAGCCCTGGGAGAACCGCACCTGCCACCTGGGCAGGGCGGCAGGCGTGATCTGCACAGGTGAGTGGCACGTTGTGGGGGTCACACCTGGAGGGGCTCACCTGGGGTTTCCACCTGGTTTTGGGGGATGGGAGGGGATTAGGGTGCTCACTTGGGGCACCTAAGGTGGCCACATGGTGGGGGGAGGGTGAGGAGGGGGTCTAGGTGGGTTTAGGGTGGTTGGAGGTACCTGAGAAGGTGCTGAGGAACACACCTCATCAAGACTCGACATCTGAGAAGGTGCCAGGGCAGCACCTGGACAAGTACCAGGGTGCTCCAGGTGTGTCTCCACCCTCTCCTTCCCCACTTGTCTGTCCCTCCCCACCTCCCCACAGGTAACCCCGAGGCTGACCAGGTGCGCCTGGTGAGCTCTGGCAGTCGCTGCGCTGGGAGGGTCGAGGTGTTCCACAACGGCAGGTGGGGCACGGTCTGCGATGACACCTGGGACCTGGCAGATGCCCAGGTGAGTCCTGGGGAGGGGCAGGTAAGGCTGGGGAGCCTCAGGTGGGTCCTGAGGATACTCAGGTGTGTTCTGGTGGTCTCTGGGGACACTCAGGTGTGTCCTGGGCCCGCCCAGGTGGTCTGTCGCCAGGTGGGCTGCGGGAAGGCCCTGTCAGCACCTGGGAGGGCCCAATTTGGGCGGGGCAGCGGCTTCATCTGGTTGGATGAGACCAACTGCACGGGGGCGGAGCCTCACCTGTCCGCCTGCCCCGCCCGGCCCTGGGGCCGCAACGACTGCTACCACGGTGAGGACGCAGGTGTGGTGTGCTCAGGTGAGCTCTGGCACAGGTGAGGGGGTGGCAGAACTCCCAGGTAACTCTCTATGTCCTTCCCACCCCACCTGTGCCAGGTGAGCTCGGGGGACAGGTGAAGGGGGGTATTGGGACCCCTGGGTAACTCTGTGGCCGGTGGGGGTGACCCAGATCTCACTTGTGCCAAGTGGTCCCATCCAAGGGGGGTCTTCCCAGCCCCAGGTTTTGGAAAACGTTCCTAGAGGTGTTCCCAGCATCCCACCCCACCTGGACACTCTAGGTGCTCCTGGGAGGTTCTTTCAGGTGTTCCCAAAATCCCACCTCACCTGAACCTTCCAGGTGCTCCAGGTAGGGGGGTTTTGGGCCTTACCCATGTGTTCCTCCCCACCTTCCCCAGGTAGAAGAGGGGGCGGGGACAACATGGAGCTCACCTGTGTGGGGGGGGGTTACCTGAGCTCCCTCCTCACTCAGGTGTCTTTCTAGACTCCCTGATCTTGGAGGCGCCTCACCTGCGCTTGGCCAACGGCTCCCACCGCTGCGCCGGGCGGGTGGAGCTGCTGCACCTGGACAAGTGGGGCGGGGTCTGCGCCAAGGGCTGGTCCCAAGAGGCCGCCCAGGTTGTCTGTCGGTACCTGGGCTGCGGCACCGCCCTGCGAGAGGCAGAGTTTGGCACACCTGGGCAGGTGTGGCTCGACCAGGTGAGGTGCCAAGGGACAGAGAAGAACCTCGGGGAGTGTCAGACAAGCCCGTGGGCCCAGAGCACCTGTGAGGGCGGGAGAGTCGCAGGTGTGGTGTGCTCAGGTGAGGCTCGGGGTGCCCAGGCAGGAAGGACAGGTGATTCCCCCTGCCAGGTACCACCCTCCCCTTGCAGGTAACCCAGGTGTGCCCTCCCTGCCTCCCCTACCGCAGGTTGGGAGCCGGCGGGCAGTGCTCAGGTGCGCCTGGTGGGCGGGCCAGGTGAGTGCGCAGGACGGGTCGAGGTGCTCCATGCCGGCGCCTGGGGGACGGTCTGCGACGACACCTGGGACTTCGCCGCCGCCGCCGTCGTGTGCCGCTACCTGGGCTGCGGGCAGGTGATCTCGGCCCCGCCCCGGGCACGCTTCGGGGAGGGGCGGGGCCCCATCTGGCTGGACGGGCTCACCTGCCAGGGCCACGAGGGGCACCTGGGTGAGTGTCACCACAAGGGCTGGGGCATCCACGGCTGCGAGCACAGTGAGGACGCCAGCGTGGTGTGCGCAGGTGAGGGAGAGGTGGGGGCAGGCGAGGGGCAGGTGAGCACCAGTTGGGTGCAGGTGAGCGTCAGGTGCCCCGACCCCCCTCACCTGGCCCCAACCCCCTCACCTGCAGGCTCTCACCTGGCCGACCTGACCCACCTGCGTTTGGCTGATGGCGCTGACAGGTGCTCGGGGCGGGTGCAGGTGCTCCACGCCGGGCGCTGGGGTGGGGTCTGCGCCCACACCTGGCACCTGGCAGCCGCCCGCGTGGTCTGCGCCCAGGTGGGCTGCGGGGGGGCGGCTGCCGTGGCCCAGGTGAAAGCGGGCGAGGGTGAGCCCACCTGGCTGGAGGCCGTTACCTGCCGGGGTGACGAGGGGCCCTCCTGGAGTGCCAGGTGAGAGGCTGGGGGGGCCCCCGCACCTGTGGCCACGGGGGACACGCCCACGTCACCTGTACAGGTGAGTTTGTTGGGGGGGGCCACAAACACCTGTCACAGAGACCCAAAGACACCCCAAAATCCTCCAGAGACCCCAAATGTCCCCCAATGTCCCCAAACCTCCCCAGAGACCCCCCGGCACCCCAAAAACACCCCAAAAATGCCAGGTAACCACAGAGGCAGGTGAACACCTTGGAAGGCTGTATCTCCTGTTTTCCAGGTGTGACCCAGGGACTCTCCGGTAAGCCTGGAAGCTCAGGTGAGCCAGGTGAACCTGGAAGCTCAAGTGAGCCTGGTCACCCAGGTGAGCCAGGTCACACACGTAAGCCAGGTCTCGCAGGCAAGCCAGGTGAACCTGGAAGCTCAGGTGAGCTCCGCCTGGCCGACGGGCCCCACCACTGCTCGGGGCGTGTTGAGGTTCTCCACAACCACACCTGGGGCACCGTCTGCGGCCACACCTGGAGCCTGGAGGCCGCCCAGGTGGTCTGCCGTCACCTGGGCTGTGGTCACGCCCTCAGCACACCTGGGGCTGCCCGTTTCGGGGCAGGGCCCGGCCCCGTCTGGCTGGATGGGCTCAGGTGCATTGGCAACGAAACCAACATCGCGCAGTGCCCAGGCATCACCTGGGGGCCGCACACCTGTGACCACCTGGAGCACGCCGGGGTCATGTGCTCAGGTAACCCCCCCAGGTGATTCCCAGGTGACGCCTCACCTTGGGTTCTACTTGGGTAGGTGAAGGTGGGGTGGTGTGGGGGCAACCACAGGTGGTTTGGCCTCAGGGGCACGAGGGAATGTCTCAGCTGGGCTCACCTGGGACTGCCCTCAGATGCACCTGAGAAGCACCTTTGTGGGCCCGATTCGGGGGCAAATCCCTCCTGGATGAGCCGGGTGGGCACAGGTGAGGGAGATCCTGAGGGAATATTGGGAAAGACCCTTTAGCACCTGCCCACAGGTGAGCACAGATGTGGCCTCACCTGGACCACCTGTGATGGAAGAGGGAGGCAGAAAAAGCATCCAGGTGTGTGCAGGTCCCCTCTAACCCCCCCTTCCCACCTGTGCAGGTGCCCCCCCAGCAGGTAACTCCAGCTCAGGTGAGGTGAGGTTGGTGGAGGGGCCTCACCTGTGCATGGGACGTGTCGAGGTGCTCCACGACGGCCAATGGGGGACGGTCTGTGATGACAACTGGGACCTGAAGGAGGCTCAGGTGCGTCCTGGGCATGTCCAGGTGTCCTGGCTGACACTCAGGTGTGCCCAGGTGTGCCGTGGGTGACACTCAGGTGTATCCCTGGGCGTGCCCAGGTGGTCTGTCGCCAGTTGGGCTGTGGGGAGGCCCAGGCCGCCCACGGCCATGCCCACTTTGGGCGGGGGACGGGGCCCATCTGGCTGGACGACGTCACCTGCATGGGAGAGGAGACACACCTGGCGCAGTGCCACGCCCGGCCCTGGGGGAAGAACAACTGCCACCACGGCGAGGACGCAGGCGTGGTGTGCTCAGGTGAGCCCAGGTGTGCTCAGGTGAGCTCAGGGGGATCAGGTGGGTCCAGGTGTGCTCAGGTAACCTCCACACCAACCCCACCCTCCCACCCCACCTCTTGCATTCTCCCCAGGTAACCCCCTCCCAGCCTCACCTTTCCCTTCACCTTCCCGTTACCTGCCCAGGTGCCAACGTGACGGAGGAGCAGCCCCAGGTGCGCCTGGCAGGCGGCCCCACCCCCTGCGCAGGGCGGGTGGAGGTGCTGCACGAGCACAGGTGGGGCACGGTCTGCGACGACAGTTGGGACCTACAGGACGCGCGGGTCACCTGCCGCCAGGTGGGCTGCGGGGATGCTGTGGCTGCCCCTGGCCACGCCCGCTTTGGGGAAGGGGCGGGGCCCATCCTGCTGGACCAGGTGGGCTGCACAGGTGAGGAAAACACCTTGGCCGAGTGCGACCTTGGCGCCTGGGGGGTTCACAACTGCAACCACGAGGAGGACGCAGGTGTGGTGTGCACAGGTGAGGGGCTGGGCTGGGAGGGGGGCAGTCAGATGGGGCTGGGGAGGCTCAGGTGGGCTTGGTGGGGCTCAGGTGTGCTCAGGTGTGTGCCCCTCCCTCGCAGGTCCCACCCCCCTGCAGGTGCGGCTGCGGGATGGCCCCGGGCCCTGCGCGGGGCAGGTGCAGGTGCTGCACAACCACACCTGGCTGGGCGTGTGCGGCCACACCTGGAGCCTGCTGGAGGCACAGGTGGTGTGCAGGGAGCTGGGCTGCGGCCCCGCCCTCAGCGCACCTGTCAGGGCTCACCCGGCCCCAGGGACGATGATGGAGGGTCTCACCTGTCGGGGCTCTGAGACGCTGCTCCTGGAGTGCCTGAGGGAGGGGTCAGGGCCGGGCACCTGCCACGCAGGTGGGGCCGCAGGTGTGGTGTGCACCATGCCCAAAGGTGAGGCACGGGGCGGGGTGGGGGGGGAAGGTGTCAAGGTGTGGGGGGATGGGTGTGACAGGTAGAACCAGAAGAGGTGTGAAGAGGTGGGACAGGTGGGACAGGTGAGAAGGGTGGTGCCAGAACAGGTGTGACAGGCAGAGGGGGGACAGGTGACACACCTACACAAGTAACTGGACTTGAATCCCCCAAACGCCCCCTTCCCCTCCCCCCTAATTCACCCCTCCCACACCTGGCACAGGTAAGGCCAGGTTTGGGGGGTTCTCACCGGTTCCCCCCCCCCGCCAGGTACGCCCCCAACCTGTGTACCCCTGGTGGCCCTGCTGGCGCTGATGACGTCACTCAGTGGGGTCCTGCTCTGGCTCACCTTGAGGACCAGGTGTCTGGGAGCAGCCCCAGGTAAAGGTGAGTCCCACCCCCCCAGGTGTGTCCCAGGTGTGTCCCAGGTGTGACCAGGTGTTTCCCTTTCCCCCCACAGGTCACCTGGGGTCCATTTACCTGCCCAGGAGGGTCCCCTCCGAGGAGATGGAGACACTGCAGCTCATCAAGGACGATGCCCCCTGACCTCACCTGTCACCTGCTACCCCCCAAAACACACCTGGGGGAGCTCAGGTGTCCCCACACACATGAGGCAGGTGTGGGGGGGGAAAGCAAGTGGGAAAATGAGGTGGAAATTAATAAAATTGGGGGTTTCAACCATCCCGGTGATACAGGTGCAAATTTTGGAGGGAGGGGTTGAACTTCCAGGTGTGAATTTTGGGGGGGTCCTCACTTCCATTGTGAAATCCGGTGAGACCATCAATGATGTCATCAATTAACCATCATTTAATTAATATATGCCCAGCCCAGGTGCACCCAGACTCCACCCCCAGTGCTACAGGTACCACCCAGGTGAGACAGGTGAGTCCCAGGTGTGCACAGGTGAGCCCCAAGTTCCTACAGGGGAGCACAGGTGAGACTCAGGGGTCCACAGGGGAGTCCAGGTGCCCACAGGTGAGTTGTCCCATCCAAAGGGGGATAAATCCAGGAATCCGGGAAGGAGAATCCAGGTCAGCATGTGCCCAGTCCCAGGTGCACCCGAGTCACCAGCTGTGGCTGTTCCACCCCAAAAATCCAGGTGTGCACACCTGGCCTCAGGTGTGTTGGGGGTCCCACAGGTCCGGGGGGCGTGTCCAGTGTCGGTGACGTCGCGGCTCGGGTGTTGTGGTTCAGGTGCTGCAGGTTTTGGGGACCACACCTGTCCAGGTGTGCAGGTCCTGGATGGCCTCACCTGGAGCTCAGGTGTCACAGTTCAGGTGTTGCTGCTGCAGGTTTTTGGGGTCCACAGAAGGTTCTTGGGGTGCACACCTGTCCTGGAGCATATCTATGAGATCCCTTCACCTGGGGCTCAGGTATCCTGGTTCAGGTGTTGCTGCTGAGGCATTTTGGGGTCCACAGCAGGTTCTCGGGGCGCACACCTGTCCCAGCTCCCCTCACCTATACCTCAGGTGTCCTTAACACAGGTCCATCAGCTTTTTTGGGGTCCACAGCGGGTTTTTGGGGCCCACACCCATCGCGGCAGCTCCGCCCCCTCAGGTGTCCCTGTGCACGCGCTGGTGCTGCAGCAGGTTGGAGGGGTGGGCGAAGCCCTTGGCACACACCCCGCACTTGTAGGGCGTCTCCCCTGTGTGCACCTTCTCATGCACGCCCAGGTAGGCTAGGTCCTTGAAGAACTTGTGGCAGAAGCTGCACTCGTAGGGCCGGGCCTGGCTGTGCACGCGCCGGTGCTGCAGCAGCAGCGAGGGCCGGGCGAAGGCCTTGCCGCAGGCCTCGCAGCCGTAGGGCCGCTCGCCCGTGTGCGCCCGCTGGTGGATGGCCAGGTAGGACGACTGCTTGAAGGCCTTGCCGCAGGTGCGGCAGGCGAAGGGCCGCTCGCCCGTGTGCACCCGCTCGTGCGACGCCAGCGCGTTGCTCTGCTTGAAGCCCTTCCCGCAGAGGCCGCAGGTGAAGGGCCGGTCGCCGGTGTGCACCCGCTCGTGCACCTTCAGCGAGTGCCCGTAGGTGAACCTCTTGCCGCAGACGCCGCAGGCGTGCGGCTTGTCCTCGCAGTGCTGCCGCCGGTGCAGCTGCAGCGCCGCGCCCGTTGCCAGCTCCTTGCCGCAGTCGCCGCAGCGGAAGGGCCGCTCGGCGCCCAGGTGGGTCAGGGCGTGCCGCTGGCGCTCGTAGGGCGTCTTGAAGCCCTTGGGGCAGCGCGGGCAGGCGAACGGGCGCTCCCCGCTGTGGATGCGCCGGTGCTCCTGCAGGTTGGAGGAGCGCTTGAAGCGCTTGCCGCACAGGTCGCAGCGGTGCGGCCGCTCCTCCGTGTGCACCAGCCCGTGGCTCTTGAAGTCCGAGTGGCGCTTGAAGGTGGCCCCGCAGGCCTGGCAGGTGAAGGGCCGCGCCTCGGTGTGCACGACCTCGTGGCTCAGCAGCTCCCAGGCCCGCTTGAAGCCCTTGTGGCACACGGGGCACTGGAAGGGCTTCTCGGCCACAATCACCCGTCGGATCTCCAGCGGCGCCAGCGCCTCGCCTGGCGGCTCCGCCCGCTCCCCCTCGCCCGTGGGGGTTACGGCACCGGCGCCACCGCGGCCGCCCAGCACCAGCTTGGCTGTGGAGTAAACGCCGCGCTCATCGATGAGCTGCACGAAGGCCTGGCTGGGCTCGCCCGGGCTCAGCTCGCCTGGGCCCAGCTCGCCTGGGATCAGCTCATCCGGGCTCAGCTCGCCTGCGTGGCCCAGCTCGTTTGGGCCCAGCTCGTCTGGGCTCAGCTCACCTGGGCTCACCTGGTGGCCCAGCTCACCCGGGCGGCCCCACAGCATCTGCAAGTGGTTCCCATGGGAAGGTCCAGGTTCTTCGGGGCTCTCCAGGTGATCCCGGCCGGGGCGGGGCTGCCGGGGGTTCAGGTACAGGCGGGGCTTCTGCTGGCGCAGGGGAGGGGCTGAGGCCTCACCTGGAGGCCTCACCTGGGCGCAGGAGGCTCTTCCTGGTGCCACCTGAGTGGCCTCCTGGTCTTCGTCACCTGGTTCTTCTTCCTCACCTGGGACCTCATCAAGCTCTTCCTCACCATGTTCTTCATCATCTGGTTCTTCAAGTTCTTCCTCACCTGGTTCCTCCTCACCTGGTTCATCATCAGGTTCTTCCTCTCCTGGTTCTTCCTCCTCTCCTGGTTCTTCACCAAGTTCTTCCTCACCTGGTTCTTCACCAGTTTCTTCCTCCTCCCCTCGTTCTTCACCAAATTCTTCCTCCCCTGATTCTTCCTCCTCCCCTGGAGGCTCCTCCGGGATCCGCTGGGAAAAGTTGGGGTCGTGGCCCCTCCCCTGCAACCCCTCCATGGCCACACCTGGAACCCAGGCAGGTGAGAGGGTGAGAGAAGACACTGGAGAGGGGACAGGCCTGGGATCCTCCTGAGTTGGACTTGGGGACCCTCAAAGCTGGGCTTAGGGACCCTTTTGGGACCCCCCCCTGAGATGGGCTTGGGGATCCCATAAGCCGGGTTTAGGGATCCCCTTGGGCACCCTCTGTGCTGGGCTTGGGTTCCTCCCGAGCTGAGTTTGGGGACCCTCTGAGCTGAGGCTCCTCCCAGTATGTCCCAGTCCATCCCAGTCCTGTTCCAGTCCCTCCTAGTCCATCCCAGTCCCCCCAATCTCCTCCAGCCCCTCCTAGTCCCTCTAATCTCCTCCCAGTCCCTCCCAGCCCCCCCAAATCCCATCCCAGTCCCCCCTAGTCCATCCAGGTTTCATCCCAGCCTCTCCCAGTTCCCCTCCAGTCTCTCCCTGTCCCGTCCAATCCCCTCCCAGTCTCTCCCAGTCCTCCCCAATCCCATCCCAGTCCCTCCCAGTCTCTCCCAGTTTCTCACCCGGCGCCGCCGCAACGACCGCAGCCGCTTCCGGCCGCGCTCGCGCGCGCTGACGTCACTTCCGGGGGAGTGCCTTGGGGCGGGACTGGGAGGGATTGGAGGGACTGGGGACACTGGGATGGCACTGGGGCATACTGGGAGGACACTGGGAGGGACTGAGAGGGGAATGGGACACTGGGATGGCACTGGGGCATACTGGGAGGGCACTGGGAGGGACTGGGAGGGACTGAGAGCGGAATGGGACACTGGGATGGCACTGGGACATACTGGGAGGGCACTGGGGCATACTGGGAGGGACTGAGAGCGGAATGGGACACTGGGATGGCACTGGGACATACTGGGAGGGCACTGGGAGGGCACTGGGAGGGGTATGGGCCACTGGGATGGCACTGGGACATACTGGGAGGGCACTGGGACATACTGGGATGGCACTGGGGCATACTGGGAGGGCACTGGGAGGGGAATGGGCCACTGGGATGGCACTGGGACATACTGGGAGGGACTGAGAGCGGAATGGGCCACACTGGTCTGAACTGGGTCGTACTGGTCTGAATCCCAGAAAACTCCCATCCTCCGAAGACCCCTTTGCTCTTTTTTTTTCCTCATCCCAGAGGATTTCGCCCCAAATCCCACAAATTCCCGCCCCGTTCCCACTTCTGTTCCCTCCCACCCTCCTCCCTGGTGACCTTTGGAAAACCGGCAATCATTTCACTGCTGGAATTTCCGCCCTTTTTGGCTCCAAAGGTCCTGGGAGCCTCCGGAGCCTCCGGCTGGTTTCAATCCCGAGCAATTTTCGGGAGGTCCAGCGGGCGCTGCTGGAAAACCAGGTTGGTTTTCCCTTTTTCCACACGATTTCCCACCTTTTTCTTTAGGGAATTTTATCCCATTTCGGTTTATATAAAACCATAATTCCCATAAATTCCAGTTTTCTGTTTGTTAATAGGCGGAGCTCCCAAGTTTTTCTTCTCCCTCCTTTTCCCGTGGGATTTCCCGTCGCCTTCCCTTCCTTCGCGTCGGTTTTCCAACGTTTCGGGATTTCCCCTGAAGTATTTGGGAATTCTCTTTTACCCCTCGGGAAACCGAAAGGAATTTTGACACCGTGACGTCATGGGGGGTGGGGGCTGAAAAGGGGCCGAAAGTGGGATAAAAACATCCCAAAAAAACTGTGGATTAAAAAAACCCCAAAGTTTCCAGAATGGGTTCGTTTTCCTGGGAGTTGCCACTGAGGAAAAGGACGCCCTGGAAAAAGGGAATTTCCAGGAGTGTTCCCTATTTTCTCTTTCTTCCCCTTTCTCATAAATCCGGGAAAGGAACCCACGGAACAACTTCCAAGGACCGGGAACCATTTGTTGGAGCAGAGACAGCTGCTCCAGAGCTCAGGAGCAGGACCCAATCCCATGGATCTCCCATTCCCACCTGGGATTTTTCCTTCCCCTGCAGAAATGGGGAACTGGATCTGGATCCTCGCCTTCATCCCATTACTATCCAGACTCCACCCCACAATGGGTAATTTTATGGGATTTCATGGATTTATTGAGCTTGGAAAAGACCCTGAGGATCCCCGGAGAGCTTCTGGAATTCTTTGGGATTCGAGCTTCCAAATTATTCCATTGATGGAACTCAGGGAAGTTAATTTGGGATTTTTTTTGGGGGGGGAGGGAGGGAATGTTTGGCTCCCAATGTATTTCTTGGCTCGTTTTATTTTATTCCAACCTGGCAGGAATTATTCCAATAATTCCAGATGCCTTGGAGAGGGAGGGAAATTGGGATACTCTTCTGGAGCTCCTGTGTCCTGCTCATCCATAGGGAGCTTCCATGGCCCGCTGCTCGTCCTGGATGGGTTGGAAAATTCTGGAATCCGCCTCAAGTGCCTCTCGGAGCGGCTCTTCTCCGAAGTCCGGGTGTTGTGGACGGATGGGAAAGGCAGGAATATCACTGGGAATCCCCTAAGCATGGACACAGCTGGGAATGCTGGGAGCTCCATCGTCCTCACGCCGGGATCTGGGAATGCCGTGTCCTGCAGGATCGTCGACAGCCTCAGGAAAACGTCCACGGAATCCTCCGTCGTCATTGCGGGTGAGGGGGGAAAAACAGGGATCTGGTGCCATTTTTCCTGGGAATCCCAGTCTTCAGTGGGATAATCGATCAATTTCCAGTTTTATAGTGGAATTTCCTGCTTTTCCAGCTGGGGGAAGCTTCCCGAATCATTCCAAGGTTGGTGGTGCTTTGAGGGAGAGACTGGGGATGGAATTCCCGGCTTTAGGGAAGGGGGTTTAGAAGAAGATCCCTCCCAGCCCAACCATTCTGCTCTTCCATGGTCAGGGTGATATTCCAAGGGAATAACGGAGCCCCTGGATTGTTTTCCAGAGAGTTTCTTCCCGGCCATCTCCCCCTGGCTCCCAGCTTTTGTGATGATCCTGCTCTTTGGAATATTCCTGGTCCTGGCAGCTGTTTATAAACTCCGGAGTAAGTTCCTTAATTTCCTTTCCTTCCCTTCCCAAACCTTCCCAAACTTTCTCTTTCCCTTCTTTTCCCTTTTCCCTTTTCCCCCTTTTCCCCCTTCCCTTTTTTCCCTTTCTTTCCCTTCCCCCTTTTTTCCTCATTTTTTCCCATTTTCCTCTTTTTTCCCCCTTTTCCCCTCCTTTTTTCCCCTTCCCAGGAAAACCTTCCTTGGAAAAAATCCCAAATTAACCAATATTTGCCTTTCCCCATTTTCCCACAGTCAACAAAAAGACGATGGATCGGGAAAGTGAGTGAAACCATTCATTTAATTAATTAACTTAATTAAACCTCAGGTTAACGCTCAGTTCCATCGTGAGTGTCGGGAAAAATGGGAATTCTTTTTGCCATTGGGATCAACCACGGGGGGAAATAATCCCATTTTTCAGGATGTTTTGCAGCAAAGACTCCACAAAATTGGGATTTTCTGACCTATCTTTGTGGCAGTTTCTCCTGAAAATCCCTAAAAAACCCAAGGAAAACCCAAATGCTGGGAAATTTTAAATTAATTAATTAAATCAAATTAAATTTTAAAATTAATTTTTTTGTGCTCTAAAATCTTCCTCTTTTCCCAGAAAATGCCCACAAGCAAATTCTGGAGGGTGAGTGGAAAAAAGTTTGGTTTTTTTTCTCAACAATTTCTCTCCTCAAATTTTTTTAACTAATTAAAAAAAAACAAATCACTTGGACCCGGAAAATCAGCTCTGTTAAAAAAACCCTGTGGAAGTGTTGGGAAAATGGGGGAAATTCAGTGTATTTTGGGGGGGGAAAGGGGTAAAAAATGTAATTTTTAATATTTCAACCCTTTCAGACATCGAGGACCTCAAGATGGAGCTGGGTAAGGGCTGAGCTCGGGACTAAGGGTTTGTTAGACTCAGCCTAAGTCTTCGTTGGGCTGAGATTATTTATTGGAGGCATTCTAATGATTTCTTAGACCTGGGGGTGGGGAGTTGTCCTGAATTTTTCTCCATTTTCCTCATTTTCTCCCTTTGTCTTCCAGAGGAAGTGCAGGAAAAATTCCAGAAGGGTAAAAAATCCTTTCCATCCCCTAATTCCCAGAATTCCCCTCCTTTCCCGTTCCCAAATCCCGATTTCCCTTTCTTTCCCCATAGAAAACCAGGAGATGGAGTCGAAAATCGGTGAGAAAATTCCACAGCTTGGGGAATTTCAGGAATTTCAGGGATTTGGGGCTCAGGGGAAAAAAAACAAAACAAAACAAAACAAAAAACACTTTTGGGGGAAAAAATGAGGCCACTTTGAGGGCTGGGGCAGGTGACACACCTGGGACAGGTGACACAGGTGCCTCACCTGGCCCAGGTGCCCCTTTTCCAGCAGGACAGTGACAAAACTTCTCTCCTTCCAGAACAAATCCAGGCCCAGCTGGGTGAGTTGGACCCGACCCTGAATCCCCTAACCCTGCCCCCAGTTATGCAAAAATCATGCAAATGAGCTGCTGTCACAGTAGTTAGTTAATTAGCATTAATTAGTCACTCATTTCCCTGCAGCGTTCAGACGTGCTCAGAGCAATGCAGGTGAGTTGGGGCCTTCCTCTTCCTCTTCCTCTTCCCTTTTCCCTTTTCCCTTTTCCCTCTTCCCTTTTCCCTTTTCCCTCTTCCTTCCTCTTCTCCTCTTCCTCTCTTTCTCCTCCTCCATTGTCACATTAAACTATACACAACCCCCCAAATTTTATATAATTTTACATTCTTTTATATAATTTCTCCCATTTTCTCCCATTTCCCATTGCTTTCTGTAATTACTTTTCCCTAATTCCTCGTAAATCCTCGGCTTTCCCCCCTTTCCCAGTCCCGCTGACCCTGGACGAGCTCTGCAAACATCCCGAACTCTCCCTCCGGGATCAATCCTGGGTCGTTTCCTGCTCTGCCACTGCCGAGCAGCTCCACCTCAAACCCGTCATCGTGTCCAAGGAATCCTTTTCCCAAGGGAAGCACTACTGGGAAGTGGAGGTCGGGGCCGGATCCGGCTGGGAGCTGGGGGTGCTGGCCGAGGAGATCCGGGATTCCCTGCGGAACGGCGGGATGGTCCTGCCGCGGGAGCGGGAGCAGGTGCTCAGCCTTGGCTATTCCCGGGGGAATTCAACATTCCCGGGGGCTGGAATTGCAGGCCCTGCCCGGTGCTCGGGGTTTTTCTGGATCAGGAATCCCACAACCTCTCCTTCTTCGACGTGGAAGGGAAAAGCCTCCTCGCATCGCTGCCCTTGAGGTTTTCTGGAAATCTCTTCCCATTTTTCAGCCCTGGCTCCAATGAGAAAGGGTTGGGAATTCGCTCTGTGGGAGGTTGAGTCACATGACCCTGTTTAATGGGGCCGGGGGGTGATTAATGGGTTAATAATTAGCATTAATTAATAAATTTGAAAAAAGGTTGTGATATCGTGAACTTATTTATTTAACCCTCCCGTTCCTTCCCATTCCCTTTTCCATCATTTTCTCCCCACTTCCCCAACCCTTTCCCCAACGCCCACTCAAAGTCCCTTCAGCGGGAGCGGGATTGGCACCGGGCGGATCCTGATCCCTTCTCCCTGGGACACAAACGGGAAGAACATTCCCTGCGGATCCCCCCCAGTGCTCAGATCCAGCCTCTCCAGGAGCTCTGCGGTCTCCACGTTGTAGAATTCCAGGCGCTCCCAGTCCAGGTCCAGGAAGACACCGAGGGTGGAGCCATTCCCACGGAGCTTCCCGAGCCCGCGGGATCCGCCGCTGGAGAAGAGCTGTCCCTGGGATCTACGCAGAGCCCAGGAATTCCACCCAGGAATGGGCCCGGCCCCGCATCCCGCGTTTTCCCGCAGCACTCCCAGCACCCAGTCCTGCTCCTCGCCCAGCTCCAGCTCCCAGTAGCACTTCCCACTTCTAAAGCCTTCCCTCCCCACATGCACCGGGAATGTGGGCGCAGACACTTCGCTCTCCCCGCTTGGGAGCTCCAGGATCCGCTCCAGGGCATTCCAGGCCACGGGAACTGCGGGACAGGAGGAGGAGGAGCCACAGAATCCATGAATCCCTGAATTCTCAAGTGCCTGAATCCCTGAATCCCCAAATCCCAGATTCCCAGAACCCACAAATCCTTGAACCTCTGAATCCCCAAATCTCAGAGTCCTCAAATCCCTCAATTCCCGAATCCCAGAATTCACGGATCCCCAAATCCCTGGATTCCCAAGTGGCTGAGGTTGGAAAGGACCCAAGGCCCTGCTGGATCTCTCCCATCCTGGGATTTCCCAGGACACAAATGCCTCTCCCACTTCCCATCTATCCTCTTGGGAATTGCATCCCAATCCCACCCTGGCCTTGGACACCTTCCAGGACTCCCTTTCCCCACCATTCCCACCATCCCCATCCCTTCTCCATTCCCATTATCCAAGGCACATTCCCATTTTTCCAGCTCACCTGCGTGGCTCCGGGCTTCCCAGAAATCTATGGAAAAACAACAGACATTGCTGCATTCCAGGCTTTTTGGTATCATTTGATCCTCCAGGACCGGGAAAACCCTTTGGATCTCCCAAAAATCCCATTTAACACCCAAATCCCAGGAATTTCCACAGTCCCATGGTTCTTACTCACCCAGTTCTGTTTTCAGTCTACCTGCAAGAAAAAGATATTTGGTTTGGATTTCCTATTTTTCCCCAATTTTCCCAATTTTCCCCCAGTTTTCCCCATTTTTCCCATTTTTTCCCTATTTTTCCTATTTTTTTCCCATTTTCCCCAACTAGAACAACACCCAAGAGTCCCTTTTTTCCCATTCTTTCCCAGTTTTCCCAACGGGAACAGCTCCCAGGAGTGGAAAACAAGGATATTCCTCCCCATAAATTGATAATTCACCGCATTCATTAACTTTAAATCCAGGAATAACATGGATATATCCATGAATTCTCATCCTATTGTTTCTAACAACGATGCAGAGACAAAAAATGCAAATTTATGCAAATTTATGCAAACACAGTCCCTTACCAAAGCGTTTCTTGAAGTGGATCTTGGCTGGAAAAAGAAAAGGGCAGAAATTGAGGGAGGGGGAAATTCCAGGGAAAACAAGGAAAATATCCATGGGAAAGGATTTGGATCGTGGAAGATTTGGGCTTGGATTCCGGGATTTCAGGGGTATTTTCCAGCCTAAGTGATTCCATGAAATCCCAAGGAAGAGGAAGGGGAAAGCTGTGGCTGGATCACCTCTGGGGGTTAATTAATCACTTTCAATTAAGAGGAAGTTGATTAAACCAAGGATTGTTTTTCCCAGGGAATGTTTCATGGGAATGGGATTTACCTGCTCGCTTCTTGGCTTTCTCTCCATCTGGAGATTCCGGACATGGAATCGAGGGAATAATTTGGAATAATGTTAATATTTAATAATAGATATTGTTAATAATCATTAATATTTATTGTTAATGTTGTTCTGGAGGTGCCTCCCAGAGTTAAAGGGAAAAGGGGGGGAAAGGGAAAAGGGAAGGGAAAAGGGAAGGGAAAAGGGAAGGGAAAGGGAAGGGAAATGGAAGGGAAAGGGAAGGGGAATCTCTTACCCAACACCGACTTCACCTTCTTTTTTTCTGGAAAAGAGAGGACAGGGAATTTTGGCTCCCAAAAATCCCAGTTTGGGAACTTCCCTGATATTTGACATCAGATGTTTTCCATTTCCTGGAGGATTTTTTACCTTCTTCCCTTTCCAGCTTCACTTTCACTGAAAAACAAGGGAAATTCATCCAAATGGGAATTTTTTCATGGAATTTTTCCTTCTCCTGCCATGGTGAGATTTACAAAATGAGTTTAGACCTCAGATTTAATTACAATTTAATTGATTTGAATTAAATTAAACTCAACTTTGTTTAACTTCCTGTAATTTAATTTAATTTAAATTTCTTTTATTTCAGTTTCATTTTAAAATAATATTAAAAAATAAAAATAAAGCAAAAATTAAATTAAATTAAAGGCCTCAAAACCTTTGGATGAAACTGCTCCAGGATTTAATAGGAATAAAATTAAATAATTTAAATATGGGTAATATCAATCTATAAATAGTTTTATTAAATATAAATAATATAATTAATATAAATAATTAACCTTAGTTCCTCATCACTCACCTGCACTGGCATTTTCCTTGTGGCTCCCTGGTTAAAGAAAGCAGGAAAAAAGTCCTTTTATCCCATGTTTTTTGCACTAAAACGAGCTCCAGATCGTCACCTGGGATTTAATCCCGCCGAGAACACCCTCGGATTGACTTCCCAAGGAATTCTGTGAAACAGAGTCAGGAATTCCCCACCTTTTTCAGGCTCCAATTCTGGAATTTGGTCACTCTGTTCATTTCTTAATTTGATTTGTTGTTGTTGTTGCTGTTTTTATTTTACCCAGATTTCCTTCGGGAATTTTTGTTTTTTCCAGGGGATTTTTCCCAGCACTTACTCCTCAGGAGGCAAAACACAGCGGAAATCAGGAGCAGGTTGAGGCCCAAAAGTGCCAGGAAAAGGCTCAGCCAGGAGGAGATGGAGGGGAGGAAAATATCTGTGAAAAGGTGGGAAAAGGAGCAACATTCCATTAATTATTTTATGTTAATGATTTTAAAAGTCCATTAATAATTAAGGAGATGGCTGCTGGAATTTGGAGGAGGAAAAGGAAGAGCCTCGATCCCGCTTTTTAAGAGGGAAAACCAATGTATCCAACGCACTCCCAATCCCTACTTTAATTCAGCTCCAACATCTTGGAGAAAGGACCAGGAAAAGCCTCAATCCCACTTTTTATGGAGTTCCTGGAACACCAAACCAACCAGGAATGTGGTGGAAGAGGATCAGAGCATTTCTCCCAGCACGGATCTGGGAATGGAGCCGATCCTGGGGGTGATTCCAGACCCACCTGAAATGCGGATCCGGGATTCCCTGGTGACATTGAGCCGGGGGTTGACGATCCTGCAGGAAACTTCCAGGTCGGATCCGGGCGGGAGGGTCATAGAAGCGTCGATGCGGAACAGTCCCAACGGCTCCAGCGTCGTCCTGGGGCTGGAAAATTCCTTCCGGATCTTTCCTTGGCCGTCCAGCCAAAGAATTTCGGGATTTGGGAACCAGCCCGAGGCTCGGCAGGAGAGGCCGAGGTCGCTTTTCCGGGAGTTCAGGACAATGGTGGGAATGTCGCCGATGGCTGCGGAAAATATATAAAATATAAAACCCACAAAAATATAAAGCGTAAAAAATGATTTAAAATACTTAAAAATGCACAAAAAAAAAAAAACACCCATAAAAATTATGGGCCATTTTCTTTTTTAAAAAAGGTCTGGAAGGATCCCAGAATTCCCACCTGCCACTTCCAGCTCCACTGACACCTCCTGGGACACGTCCTGGAAGGACACGTGGCACGTGTAGGACCCTTGGTCGGAGATCCTGACATTCCTCAGTCCCAGGGACACATTCCCGGCCCGGAATTCCCTGGGGAAAAACTCCACACGGCCCTGGAACCTTCCGTCCCCCTCCTCCTCCTCCTGGCTCTTCCCATCGAAACTGCCCACGAGGATCCTTCGGGAATCATTGTGGAATATCCAGCGGACGGAGAAAACCTCAGGAATGGGGTCCTGGCTGAGCTGGCAGGGCAGCACAACCTGATCCCCGACAATCCCGACGATGGGAATCCCGGGAGAACTCACCCACCAACCTGTTTGGGGACAAAAGAGGTATTCATTCCCGGTTATCCACGTCGGGTTTTCATGGAATTACATTGGGCAACCAACAGAACCAGGTCAGCGGGAGAGGAATCCAAAGGAAATCCAGGGAAAACAGCACGGAATGCTTCTGGAATTTGAGATCCCTGGATTCATCCTTCGGTGTTTTGAACCTTTGGGCATCTTGTTTGGAAAAATCATGGAAAAATGGGGGGGAAAACCGATTCCCTGGGCTCCAGCCCCGAGCACCCTCCGGATAAAGAAGCTTTTCCGAGGTTTTTGAGGGAATTTCAGCAGAAATCAGGTGTTTTAGGGAAATACATCCCAAATGTATCCCAAATGGAATTATCTTCACCTGCGGCCAGGTGGGATCCACGTTGGAATGTCAGGATTGGGAGCAACATCAGCCACCAGACCCGGGAATCCATCGATGTCCCAGAATCTCCCAGAATTCCTTCGGCCCCTTTGCACGTTCCACGGGAAAGAACAAGAGAATCGAGGGATGAAATAACAGGGGAAAATATCTGGGAATTTATGGATGGATGGATTGGGGTTCTCAAGGAAAAGAAGGTTCCGGGTGTTTTTCCTCCCTGATTCCCCATGGAATTTAAATATGTGAAGGGGGATTTGAAGGGAATTCCAGGATTTCATGGATGGGTCTCTTTCCAAGCACTTTTCCCACCAATCCACGTTCCCAGGGAAGATAAACAAGGAGTGAGCTGGGTTTAAATTGGGATTTAATCCTGATTTCAACCTGATTTCCTGGGAATTCTTGTGCTTTTTCCCACGTCTCCAATCCCTGATAAAATCAGGAGTTGCCAGGGACTGCAATTCCCATTGGAAAGTGGGAGTTACTGCCTCACCTTCATTCCTGACCATTCAAAAAATGAATTTATTCCAGTTAAATCAGTTTGTTCCAGTTAAATTCATTTATTCCGGTTAAAAAAATCAATTTATTCCCATTAAAAAATCAACTTTTTCCAGATAAATCGAGCTCTAGAAGTGAATTCACGGATTTTTCCTACCGGGAATTTCTTACCAGAGCAGGAAGGACCTGAAGGTTCCTCTGGCGTCAGGTTGGGGAGAACTTTGTCCCCAGGTTTTATATTTTTATGGTCCCTGAAAGTCCTGATTTGCATTCTCCAAAGGGGTTGGACCTGGAAAAAGAGAAATGGGAATTCTATAATAGTTTAGGGTTATATTTGATATATTATGTTATGTATTGTGTTAGAGTATATATTGTATTAGAGTATATATTAAACTATAAATTATATGTAACATCTAATATAATTATATATTAATATATAAGGGTATTTTATTATCATTATAAATATGATAATAAATTAATATATAAAATATATTTGGGTTATATTTTATATAATACATATTATGTTATGTATTCTATAAATTATATATAATATCGAATATAATCACATATATGACTATGATATAATTATACATTACTTATCATTACTATTCATTATAATAATAAACAATTGTATTTTGCAACACGCCCCGAAATCCATCCCCCGGCACAATGCCAGAGGAATTATTCCCCTGGGAATGATTTCTGCCCAAAATCCCGTGATTTTTCCCAAATCCTCGAGATTTCAGCTCAAATTGGCCCCGGTAAACACTGGTGGCAGGAGCCCGGATAGCTCAGTCGGTAGAGCATCAGACTTTTAATCTGAGGGTCCAGGGTTCAAGTCCCTGTTCGGGCGCTCCTGTTTTTCCCTCTCTCGGGGCACCCCGGGGTTTTTTTCCCTGTTTTCCGCCGCTCCTGTCCCGCAGGGAGGGTCGCGGGGTCTCTTTTTCGTGGAGGAGGGATCGGCGCGGAGGGGTCTGGGACGGGCGGCGGGGGCGGCGCGAGGCGGTCCCATGGTGTAATGGTGAGCACTCTGGACTCTGAATCCAGCGATCCGAGTTCGAATCTCGGTGGGACCTCTTCCTCTTTTTGGACTTTCCCCGCCCCGCGCCGTGTCCCGTTGCAGGGGTGGGGGGCAGGAGGGGGTCCCGGCTCGCTGTGGCGTTTGGGAAGCGCAGGGGACACTCAGCTGGGGACTCCGCTTCCCCCCAGTGCTTTACGCGCGTGGGTGTGACCGCTCCTCTTCCCTCTTTTGGGATCGGGGTGTGACGCCTCAAAAGGGACCTCGCGTGACCCTTCTCTGGGGTCTGTGTGTGACACCCCACGTGTGACACCCCCCAGGGGACCCCGTGTGACCCCACAGACACTTTGTGGACTGTGTGACATCCCACCTGTGACTGCCCGAACCCAGAGCAGAGACCCGAGTGGCCAGGACGGGCTGACTGAGGGACAGACAGAGGGACAGGAGGGGACAGAGGGACAGTTATGGAGACAGAGGGGACAAAGGGACAGACCCCCAGGGCCCCAGGTAGCGGAGTCACACCCCGGGGCTGGGAGTGCGAAAACTGAGAGGGAGAGAGAGGAAAAGAAAAAAACAAACAAGCCCCGGCACAAAAGAGGAAGGAGGCAGCGCAAAGCAAAGCAAAGCAAACAAATCCCGAGGGAGCAACGAACTCCCGGCCCCGCCGGGGCCAAAGGTGCGCCCGGCCCGGCCCCGCGGACCTTTGGCCACCTCTGGCCACCCCTCAGTGGCCATGGCCGTGCTGCTGGGGCTGCTGACGGCCGCGCTGGCCGGGCTGGCCCTGCTGCTCGCCCCGCCGTTCCTCTGGGACGACCTGGTGGCCTTTGTCAGCATGGCCAGGTCGGCGCTGCGCTGCCGTCGTCGCTTCGCCCGCAGCCCCCCCGAGACCCTCCTGGACGTGTTCCTGCTCCACGCGCGGCGGCGGCCGCAGCAGCCCCTGCTCCGCTTCCAGGACGAGCTTTACACCTACGAGGACGTAGATCTCAGGAGCAACCGGGCGGCCTGGGTGTTGCAGCGGCACCTGCGGCTCAGCCCCGGCGTCACGGTGGCCGTGTTCCTGCCCAACTCGCCCACCTACGTGTGGACGTGGCTGGCGCTGGCCAAGCTGGGCTGTGTCATGGCCTGCGTGAACACCAACGCACGGGGACAGGCGCTGCGGCACGCGTTGGAGGCTGCCGGGGCCACCCTGCTGCTCACCAGTCAGGGTGAGAAGGGGTGGAGGGGGCGTTCGGGGGGCTGTGGGGACACGGGAGGACGTGGCCCCCGAGGTTATCCTGGTCCTTGCCAGCCCTGGTGGTCAGAGGGGCTGGGGGGACACAGGGATATGGCCACCAAGGTCTCAGTCATCCTTGCCAGCCCTGGTGAGAGGGGATGGAGAGGACATTTGGGGTCTACAGGATCATGGGGGGATGTGGCCACCAAGATCACTCTGGTCCTCGCCAGCCCTGATCTCAGCCATCCTCGCCAGCCCCGGTGCCCACATATGTCAGAGTCTGCACGTGTCTACATGTGTGTCAGTGTCTGCACACGTGTCTGTGTGTCTGTGCACGGGTTTGTCTGTGTGCCCACTTTGGGGTCCCTCAGGTCCCCATTTGGAGTCCCTTTGTTATCCATTTGGGGGTCCCTTTACTGCCCGTTTGTGGTCCTCATTGTCCCCTACCCTATTCCCTCCTGTCCCCCCAGACCCTGCCCCCCCGTGACCCACCGTGTCTCCCCATGACCCCCCATGTCCCCCCAGAGCTCCAGGGGGCTGTGGAGGAGGTTCTCCCAGGCCTGCACAGGTCTGGGGTCCGCGTATTCTACCTGAGCCCCTGCTCGCCCACCTCGGGGGTCCCGGCCCTGCTCCCCGACATTGAGGCAGCCCCCGCGGACCCTGTGCCCGCCCAGTACCGCGCTGGCATCACCGCCACCTCCAAGGCCATGTACATCTACACCTCCGGCACCACCGGTGAGAGGGAGCTGGGAACTGCTGGGAACTGCCAGGAGACGGAGCTGGGGGGACAGGGGGGAGCGGGGTCTGGGAAGGTTGAAGGGGTCTCTTGTGGGGTCTTTCTCCAGCCACGAGTGTGGTGGGTCCACCTGGGGCAGGAACATCCCTCTGGGATGTTTGGGGTCAGTTGGATGTGTTTGGGGTCAGTTAAGGGTATTTGGGGTCCGTTGATGGTATTTGGGGTCAGTTTGGGATTTTTGGGTCCCCAGGGCTGCCCAAGGCTGCAGTGGTGACAGAGCTGAAGCTGATGATGGCTGCCACCCTGGCCCGCATGTGTGGGCTGCGCCGCGACGACATCGTGTACACGACGCTGCCCCTCTACCACTCGGCCGGGCTGCTCGTGGGCCTTGGAGGCTGCCTCGATGTCGGTGCGGGAGAGCCCAGCCCCGCGGGACCAGGGAGGGGAGGGAGGGACGGAGGGAGGGAGGGGGGGATAGAAGGAGGGATGGTGGATGGATGAGGGATGGAGGGATGGGTGGAGGGAAGGATGGATGGGAGATCGGTGGAGGGATAAAGGGAGGGAGAGGTGGAAGGATGGATGGATGGATGGATGGATGGATGGATGGATGCATGGATGAATGGATGGATGAAGGATGGATGGATGGATGGATGGAGGGACGGATGGAAGGATGGGCAGGTGGATGAAGGGAAAAGCAAGAAGGACCAGGCTCACCTCCCCTCCGGCCGTGCCCTCCCAGGAGCCACGTGTGTCCTGAGGAGCAAGTTCTCGGCCTCACAGTTCTGGGCTGACTGTCGGAAGTACAACGTCACCGTCATCCAGTACGTGGGGGAGCTCATGCGCTACCTGTGCAACACACCCCCGGTGAGCCCCAAAAACTGCCCCCAAAACTGCCCACAAACTGCCCCCAGAACTGCCCCAAAACCACCCCCAAAACTGCCCAAAAACCGCCCCCAAAACTGCCCACAAAACTGCCCCAAAACCGACCCCAGATCCACCCCAAAACTGCCCCAAAAAATGACCCAAAAACTACCCCAAAACCCACCCCAGATCCACCCCAAAACTGCCCCAAAAAATGACCCAAAAACTACCCCAAAACCCACCCCAAACCCACCCAAAACTACCCCAAACCTCCCCAAACCCACTCAAACCACCTCAAACCCATCCCAACACCCCTGTCCCTGCCAGCGCCCCGATGACCGGGAGCACGGGGTGCGCCTGGCCCTGGGCAACGGAATGAAGGCAGAGGTGTGGAAGGAATTCCTGCGGCGCTTCGGGCCCGTGGCCATCTGGGAATTCTATGGGGCCACTGAGGGCAACGCTGGCTTCATCAACTACACCGGCAAGGTCGGGGCCGTGGGCAGGTCCAACATTTTCCTCAAGGTGAGAACGCAGGGTTTTGGGGTCGGCTAGGAGTTTTTGGGGTCATCTCAGGTTGTTTGGGGTCATTTGGGGTGTTTGGGGTAAATCAGAGATGTATAGGGCTTATTTAAACAGATTTAAATAAGATTTAGACTTTAGATTTAGACTTAGATTGAAAAATCTAAACCTAAATTTAGACCTAAAGATTTGGAATTACAGGTTTAGACTTGAAGAGCTGGACTTGAAGGTTTTAAAGATTTAGACTTAAAGATTCGGACTTCTAGGCTCGAAGACTTAGACTGACCGAAAGATTTACACTGACTGAAAGATGTAGACTGACTCAAAGACTTGGACTGACTCAAAGAGATTGACTCGAAGAATTAAACTGACTCAAAGGCTTAGACCAACTCAAAGATTCAGACTTAGGCATTTCCGATCCAGGCTGATTCGAACTCAAGCGGTTTTTAACCCCCAGGACATTGGGACTGGGGGGGGCGAGAGGGGAAAGGCCCAATCCCAGCAGGCCCGACCTGGTCCCTCCCACCCCTGGCCCAGGTTTTAATCCCAGGTTTATCTCCCCGTATCCCCCAGCCCTTCGCGCCCTTCGAGCTGATCAAGTACGACGTGGCCGCGGACGAGCCCGTGCGGGACGAGCGCGGGCTCTGCATCCCTGTCGGGCCCGGTAAGAGCCGGGCCTTGGAGGGGGGCGGGCACCAAAACCACCTTCCTGTGGCCACCAGAACGCCCTTCAGGCAGACTGAATTCCCCCCCGGCCCCCTCCCAGGTGAGACGGGGCTACTGGTGGTGAAGATCACGCAGAACGCGCCGTTCCACGGCTACGCCGGCGACGCCGCCAAGACGGAGAAGAAGGTGCTGCGGGACGTCCTGGCCAAGGGCGACGCCTTCTTCAACAGCGGCGACCTCCTGCTGATGGACCGCCAGCGCTTCCTCTACTTCCAGGACCGCGTCGGGGACACCTTCCGGTAATTCCGGCCCGCGCATCGCCGGCAGTGGCGCCGGGCCCCGAGCGCCCGG